AGCCGATATCTCACTTTGTTAAGATATCCGCTTCAGATTCTTGTTTCCTTGGTGAGACAGGAATTCTTATTGGGATCTTTCTCTCTTATTGTGCACCAGAAACTCTGTCGAAATTTCCGCTGCGCACAACAATAACCACCGTGCATGATTGTCAATCACCACTGCAATAACATGTTCTCACTGCCTGCAATTCTAGCCACCGATGTGCTCCAATCAACCACCTCTCACCAAGCCATGCCAACAGCCATTTATGCAAAATTTTACTCATCTTATCCAATCTCACGTTCTCTACCAATCGTGAGTTTGACAGGGAGTGTTAGATATAACAGTATTAGGGTATCTGCTTTTCTTCATTTTAGTTCCACATCAATTAGGATTCTAGAACATCTCCTCTTATTGTTGTATTTAAGCAGTTCAATACAGTGAATTAAATAAGTTTTTTTTCCCTCAAAATTCTATTTTCCTCCCAAAAGCTCTATTCTTAACAGCTGAAAAACACCAAAAAGAAGGACATCATCCGCAAACATGAGGTGAGTGATCAAAGTGCCATTTGCGGGATAACCTGATGCCTTTGATGAGTCCAAGATGGAGATCTCTATCCAACATGCGGGAGAGCAGTTCCATGACAATAATAAAGAGGGATGTGGACAACAGGACAACCTTGTCTCAATCCCCTATGGCTCATGAATTTTCCTTCTGGTTTACCATTGATAATCACAGAGAAGGTGTGTTTAGCAATGCAAGAGTGGACAGAGTCCTGCACATGACATCGAATCCCATTAGATGTAAAAAATAATCAAGCACTGACCGTTCAACTCTGTCAAAAGCTTTCGACGTGTCAGGTCTTAGTGCAAAAAGGTCTGGTTTGACTTTGGTGGATTTGATTCGGTCTGCCAAGAGTTCGGTAATGAGTTTATGGGCAACATTTGTACGGCTAATGAGGCGGTAGTTACCAGGAGGTGTACTATTTGGTTTTTTTGGGATGAGGACAAATATGGGTATGGTTTAGGCCATCTAGAAGTCGACGAGTGATGGAAAAAGTCTTGGACAGTTTTGACAAGGGCAGCTACTGTGAAATCCCATGTTCTTTAGAAAAAGTAAGCAGGTAGCCAATTTGATCCCAGGGTTTTGAGGGGGGGGGCATGGAGGCGAGGGCGTTCTGGGTGATAAGGTGGTCAGGGATGAAGAGATGACTTCATTTTGATCTGAGGTCAAGGGTTGAGTTGTCTAGAAGTTGAGGTTTTCAAAACCAACAGAGCCCGAAGAGGAATAGAGGTTCTTGAAATTTTTTAACCATAGCTAGTGACAGAACCATCATCCTTAGTCACTGCCATGATCCTACTAACTTTTTTTCCTGTTCTTGCAATCTCCTAATCACATCCAAGGCTTAGTGGAGGAAGCACTAGTAAAAAATCGTATATTCTAGACGGAAATTTTTAGTCCCACATAAATTTTTAGTCCCACAAATATGGGTATGGTTTAGGCCATCTAGAAGTCGACGAGTGATGGAAAAAGTCTTGGACAGTTTTGACAAGGGCAGCTACTGTGAAATCCCATGTTCTTTAGAAAAAGTAAGCAGGTAGCCAATTTGATCCCAGGGTTTTGAGGGGGGGGGCATGGAGGCGAGGGCGTTCTGGGTGATAAGGTGGTCAGGGATGGAAGAGATGGCTTCATTTTGATCTGAGGTCAAGGGTTGAGTTGTCTAGAAGTTGAGGTTTTCAAAACCAACAGAGCCCGAAGAGGAATAGAGGTTCTTGAAATTTTTTAACCATAGCTAGTGACAGAGCCATCATCCTTAGTCACTGCCATGATCCTACTAACTTTTTTTCCTGTTCTTTCAATCTCCTAATCACATCCAAGGCTTAGTGAAGGAGGAAGCACTAGTAAAAAATCGTATATTCTAGACGGAATAATCTAGACGGAAATTTTTAGTCCCACATAAATTTCCCACATAAATCGTGTATCAATGGTGAGTTTGACAGGGAGTGTTAGATATTGCAGTATTAGGGTATCTGCTTTTCTTCATTTTAGTCCCACATAAATTAGGATTCTAGAACCACTCCTCTTATTGTTGTATTTAAGCAGTTCAATACAGTGAATTAAATAAGTTTTTTTCTCAAAATTCTCTGTTCTTCTCAAAAGCTCTATTCTTAACAGCTGAAAAACACAAAAAGAAGGACATCATCCGCAAACATGAGGTGAGTGATCAAAGTGCCATTTGCGGGATAACCTGATGCCTTTGATGAGTCCAAGATGGAGATCTCTATCCAACATGCGGGAGAGCAGTTCCATGACAATAATAAAGAGGGATGTGGACAACAGGACAACCTTGTCTCAATCCCCTATGGCTCATGAATTTTCCTTCTGGTTTACCATTGATAATCACAGAGAAGGTGTGTTTAGCAATGCAAGAGTGGACAGAGTCCTGCACATGACATCGAATCCCATTAGATGTAAAAAATAATCAAGCACTGACCGTTCAACTCTGTCAAAAGCTTTCGACGTGTCAGGTCTTAGTGCAAAAAGGTCTGGTTTGACTTTGGTGGATTTGATTCGGTCTGCCAAGAGTTCGGTAATGAGTTTATGGGCAACATTTGTACGGCTAATGAGGCGGTAGTTACCAGGAGGTGTACTATTTGGTTTTTTTGGGATGAGGACAAATATGGGTATGGATTAGGTCATCTAGAAGTCGACGAGTGATGGAAAAAGTCTTGGACAGTTTTGACAAGGGCAGCTACTGTGAAATCCCATGTTCTTTAGAAAAAGTAAGCAGGTAGCCAATTTGATCCCAGGGTTTTGAGGGGGGGGGCATGGAGGCGAGGGCGTTCTGGGTGATAAGGTGGTCAGGGATGGAAGAGATGGCTTCATTTTGATCTGAGGTCAAGGGTTGAGTTGTCTAGAAGTTGAGGTTTTCAAAACCAACAGAGCCCGAAGAGGAATAGAGGTTCTTGAAATTTTTTAACCATAGCTAGTGACAGAACCATCATCCTTAGTCACTGCCATGATCCTACTAACTTTTTTTCCTGTTCTTGCAATCTCCTAATCACATCCAAGGCTTAGTGAAGGAGGAAGCAACGCAGAAGATCTCAGACCAAATTAATTAATTTCTTATTCTTTCTCGCAGGGGGCACCATAAACACAAACGAGAGTCCATGGGAAAGGCTGCACACGTTCTGCAATAATGTAATATGGAGAGCTAGCAATGACAGTATCTATAGCGGGATTGTTCCGCAAAAGGCAGAGACCTCCAGAATCTAAACTTAAACATCAACTAGTTTAACTAGTTTCGCCAAACTAAAAACTATTAATTTTTGAATCATACTTGGATGTACTAAAACTACTAGTTATTTGGACTTGCCAAACACGCCCAGCAAAAGAAATAGATTCATGCACTTATCCATGCATCGATTAGTTGATCATTGCAATGATAATTTATGCGCGTGCAGGTTCAGTATTTTTTTTATTGATATTTTAACCGTTTGCACTACCTTTCACTTTCTATGTTGGTATATATACTATTTCTAATAACTTAAAATTAATAGCATGATGCATGTTACATTATCCTTCCCATCTATATGATTTTCTATCGAGAATCTCTAGAGGATTCTTTTTCCCTCTCGGAATATGGCCAGGTCTTCTATATAGAGGCACAATGCATTGAGATAAAAAAGTAATTAAATCACAATTACATTTTACCTTTTTCCCATTTTGAATTCTTTCATTTATCTCCTCTACATTTTCAGTGACATCCTAATTTTTCTTCATGGTTTTATTCGGAGCAAGGGAAAGAAAGGTTTAACGCTGAGTTAGCAAACTCAACTACTAAATTTCTGGTTTGATTATATCTATTTACAGTTCCAGTGCAATTTTGTAGGTTAGTAAACAGAATCTGATAATATTGACTCTACATTCATCTATCTTAAAGCAAGTCACATGCTACTTGCATGAATCCACGCTAATGGCTTTAATGAGAACGAGCGTATGCAATAATCACGCATTTGTCGCATGATTGCAATTTAATTGCTGCAGATTTTGCATGTATACAATTTAAATGCTTATATGAGATATTTCATATATGAAGTTACATCAATACTACTATATTCGCCTTTTAGCTCATTCATTATTCATTCACATACGAATCCAAAGATTCAAAGACCTCTCACCACAGCGACAAAATAAAAAATTAAAATTAAAAAATTAAAAATAAATAAACAAACAATAATAATAAACACTGAGTTCAGAAAAAGCACAAAACCAGGAGCTCAGCCAGGTCCACTGTGACGAAAGCAAACACCAAAACCCCAAATTTTTAACATAAAACCATAATAGTCTTTCAATCTTTCCACTTTTGTTAGAAATCCAATATCCCAATGACAAGACAACGAGAACTTCCAAGGCTCCCCTTGGATGCGAGTAATTGAAGTGAAAAAGAAATTCACTACGTTTTACATTTTATTTCAATTGCCTTGTATCCGAATATAGCCTTACAGTTCATTATGTTCAAGAGAAAAATACATGGATTATTTTATTTTTTACCCCCATTTGATGACTCTATCTTGACAAAACTAAATGTAAATAAAACTGAAAACAGTCTCAACATTCAACAGGTATTACAGCTATTAAGGAGGGATCATGCGCGATAATCCAAAAGCTAAGGCAAATCTGAATACTGGATTGGCCTCCGCTATTGCATTATACCTGCGGATATTTAAAAGAATATCAATGTCACTGATGAAAGTTTCAGGCCAACATAAGATGATATATTTATGATAGAGAGGGAAACACTGAAATCATTGATTTAGTTAATTAGCTCATTGTGAGGAAGTAATCCCATATGTTACTGCTCCGAGCTCAAAGGTTGTCCCCCTCACCCATATCTTCAGAACCTTGAAACTGAAATATTTATAAATGGGGTTTTCGAAATGGTAGTCCCTTAAAAAATCAGTAAATTGAAATAGATCCTGAAAAACATCATATTTTGGAATAAGCCGCCCAAAACTTGTTAATAACTCTATATAAGTCCCTCTGGTTTAGGACCGTACCGTTAAACAAAAATTAACTTCTATTGCTTTTTTAGAATACCCATTATACCCACATCTCCCCAACCCCTAACAGCTATATCTCAATGTGCCTTGTCCATTAGCCATAGAAAAGCTTGATTTTTCTTCAGAAAGACTCAATTGCCACAGACTTGTCTTTTAATGCTCAACATTTCTTTGGCAGAAAATTGTGTTCTTCACATTTCATTAATCTAGTTTCTTAGAAACTGAGGGTTTTAATTGTCGTAATTTTCATTCTTTTAATAGTTAAGCTTGTATGAATTTGAAGGATTTGACTGAATTTGGTTAACAATCATAGGTCATGGCTCTACTTGAAGAACCCATGTGGTGGGTCAGTTCTATATCTCTCTCTCTGACTAGATCCAACTTAAAACAAATCCTCAACGCTACACATGGAGTACATAACAAAAGAAATGAACACTCAAAATCCTAGAGATAACACCTCTTTCTTCAAAGTGAAAATAGGGTCTCGGGAATGAAGTGGTCGGAGGAAGAAAAGGTGATTATGGAGGTATGAGCGGTGGCTGTGATCACCCCCCTCTAGTAACTGAATTTAAGTCAGATGGTTGGGGTATTAACAACCTCCGAATTAGAACTGAATGGAAAGTTCAGGTGACTTATTTCAATCTATTGATGTTTCAGGGGACTAATATCTCAAAAAAATCGTTATTATGAGGGTAAGCAAATAGAATTTGTACTACATCCTGCAGTAAAATAGATTATCATAAAAAATGTGCACAGCAAGAGTTTGCTATCAGCCTGACAATAATTAAAGCCAAGGGGGCCACAAAATCAAATGCTATAGATTATTTCTGGAAAGATGGGGTTACGTTATAATATGGTTACAGTCCAATGGAGAAAGATAATACTTCTGTATAAACCCTAAGCATCTGGCAAGTAAACTTCAATAAACAGGTTTCCAGCAAGTTGTTTTAACTTTAGACGTAGCATCGAGCAGGTTTAAGGATTAGAAATTCAAAATCCATCAAGTATAGTAACTGAACATGAACAGTTTCAAAATACTAGGCTTTGCTTATGAATAACGCAGATGATGGTGCCAAAATCTAGTTGAAAAGATGACCATATTACACTGTGGGAACAAGAATCTAAAATTTTGTTCTTGGGGATCAATGAATTAGGCAACTTCATAGGTCAAGTTGAAATTTTAAACACAATTAATTTTGTCTATATGGAGTAACTTGAGCACCCTATGTTTTCAAGAAAATGATTGGTGCGCCTAACCCTAAAGTTTGGGGCATAGGCTTCAGTATTGTTGTTATTTTCATACCTGTCAATTAACAGCAGTAACAGATGATAAAACATAAATATTTTTCGGTTCTACCTGAAAAGCACGTTGTTAGAATCAATAGCATATGGCCAACCCCGACACGGTACAGAAAAGGTTCAGGTCAAGGATTGCAACCCTAATATGACCTATTGACAAATCAGGTATGACTAGGTATTAGAAGGAACGTTATGTGTACTCAACCTTTATTTTGTGTTTAACTAAGTCTAGTATACGAGCATAGTTGCCTTGACAGGTTGTATCAATACTAAAATATCCCTAACCAACCCAATTTAAGTTTGAAGATTGGAAGTGGAAGGTCCACTTCATGTGGCAGCATACTTGAGGTCAAACGAGGTTTATAAGAGTGAAAATATTATCATAATCCAGGACATGTTCTTCAGTAAATTTATACACTACATGTTCTTCAGCGAATTCAACAAGCAACTGATCAAGAATAAAATATGCTTGAGAAGGCAAACTTAGCATGATTAGGCCACTCAAACTGCAACCCTAATTCCAAAAAAGGGCAAGAAAACATAAAATGCTGAAAGTAATAGCAAAAAATATATTACTCGCAATCAGTAGTCTATTACCTAATAGCTTCCATTCAATGTTCAAAAACATTAATAAAATGGTTCACATAGAAAAGATGCTAAATTTAATAAAGCAAAAGCATAAACTAATATACCTGATTAAGCACTGACTGAAGATCATCCGCTGAATCACTGTTACTGAGGTGAAACGGTGTTTCGTCTAGAGAAGAGTCCATATATGGTGCTAAGTGGTCCTCCAATGGGTTAACTCCCTCTGGTTGTTTATGGCCACTGCTTTCGGGGACCATTGAATTCACATTTATTCCGATTCCAAATCCAAAATCTGAGCCAATCTGAGCACTGAACTGATTTGGTTGATCTTGATGGTCTTGCACTGCACGATTAAATTAGTAAACGATTCACATTAACTTTATATTTAAACTAAAAACAATGCATAATTTTTTGTAAAGTTGGTTGTACAGAATTTTAACTGAGGGCAATAATAAAATCAAAGACATATTCTAACTAGGAACAAAAAAAGCTGTTTAAGACGAGAGTTACTGGGACCTAATGCATCCAACCCAGCTGCAAATGCATCTTTGAGTCCACCATGTTCTGAGCTCTGATCAACTATGGAATCAAAACCATGTTCGCTAGGAACAAATCCAGGTTGATTAATTGAACTTGGACTAGAAATTGTCTCATTTAGCCCATGAATCCTAGAGAGATTCTCCATAAAGCTAGATGGTTGATTCAATCTTGGAATGAGAGATTGGTAAATCCTGGGTTTGGATGCTAATCGAGGAGTGTCTGTTTGCATAACCAAAGGGTTTGATGCAGAGCCAAAATGATTGAACCTTAATTGGCTAGCCTGAGGAGTTGATGAGTAGGATTGGGGTATATTATTTTGATTGTTGACAGGAAATCGAGACCATGTTGCAGAGATAGGACTATGCCCAATATGGGATTGTTGAACATTAGCAAATGGAATTGGCCTTTGGTTATTTTGGGATGCTTGAACTTGAAATCCTCCAAGAGCGTTAACATTTGAAACTTGATTAATGAAAGACGAAAGAACAGGATTTCCAGTATTTGCACGACTTCCACTAGAAGCAATATTACTATAATAGTGTTGGGTAACCGTAATGCTATTTTTCTTCAGCGCTTTCCTGTACTTCTGCATATAACAAGACAGACTATGAATAAAAAGTTACATATGAGAAGATAATAGCTAAAAAGAGAAATCATAAATGCAATAAAATCATTTCACTGTAGAAAACAAAGGTCGAAGATAACCTGTAAATGACTGGCAACATTCTCTCGTGTAAGCCCAGGGGTGTTCATGAGATCAAGTATTTTTTTGGGGACTGCTCCTGAAAAATATTAGAAAAAAGATAATGTTTTTAAGAATCCATAAACATAATTCTATGAGAACTTAGGTTGTGCTATTCATACTTACTGTCTAAGCCTAATTTGTTTATGGCATCAATGAACTTAGAGTGTAGATCTGATGTCCAAGCAACCCTAGGCTTCTTTTGAGTGGCAAGGTCTTCATCCGAGTCTTCATCATTATCTATGACTTCTTTATATTTACTTTGACATTTCGCTCTGGATCTTGAGGTATTATCTTCTTCTGATTTTGATATTTTTTCAGGCTTGTTAGCATCATCATTGCTGACCTTTGCATCAAGCAATGATTTCTTCATTACATGCTTCCATATAAGCTGGAGTTCTTCTATTCGCACGGGTTTCACTAGATAATCACAAGCTCCATGTTTTATTCCTTTCATTACTGTTTTGACTTCACTGTCAACAGATAACACTGCAAAAATATATGATCATATGGGGAGAACAATAATACCTGAACCAGATAAAATAACAAAAAGTAAATGTTTTCCTTTTTTTTTTTGAACTATTTACTTACTAATTACAGGCAAGTCCATCTCAACACCAACAATATCCGAAAGCGTAAATCCATCCATGTCTGGCATCTTAACATCACTTATAACAATATCATAGTTTCCCTTGTTTTCTCTTAATAACTGTAAAGCTCTATTTGGATGCTGTGCAATAGTAACTGCATGTAATTTAACCATTAATTAAAAATAGTCATGTTTCACAAAGTAATTTTCTTCATGTATAGAGGGCTTTTCACAGAATATAAGTTAATTAGATCAGATCAATGTGTCAAGAAGACCAGAATTACAAATTTTCTTGGTCGTGTACAGAAATAATTTCATACTACATATAGAAAACAAAATCATGAAACTGCACGTTCTGGTTGATAGTAGCCATTATGACAGAACAGTTAAGACAAACGCAAGATTAATAGAGGCATTACATTGAATGTAAGCAAATAAATGCTGAAATTACCAAATTGGCATTTTTATTATGACCATTTTTCAAATATGGTATTTTCTTACTTTCACTTGCAACATTATGGTATTAATATCAAAATTAATACCAATCTGGTTATTTTCTCTACACTATTAAACATACCAATTTGGTTTTTTTCTCCTATGTTGTAATTCACCTAGTGGCCATGGCGAATCCAGAATTTCACATGCGGTGTCACCATATAAATAATAATTGAAAATATACAATTATTTTCAATGAGTTTTCATATTTTGAAAAAAAAAAGTATGTAATCACATCACTAGTAACACTATTAAATACATCTTTCTGAATATATCATTAAACAACTATTAAGGTGATCTCCTGTTTGATTAGTGACAGTATTAATTGTCCTATCATTAGTAACACTATCAATTATCCCTTCAATAAACTATTATGAATTTCCATTTTTTAACAAAAAATCCCTTACTTTTTTGTTTATTATAAGAAACTAGAATGAATTTTAATCAAACAATTACATTTGATTTATTATAAACATGTAAAACTTTTTGTTTATTATAAGAAACTAGAATGAATTTTAATCAAACAATTACTTTTGATTTATTATAAACAGGTAAGTAACTTAAAATTTTTATTACTTGTTGCACTTGCTCTTCTTCATATATTCAAAACTAATACCCTTCATTGTGAATCAAAAAGTTGGACTCTTCATTATTAGAAGAAAACAGACATCATGCTAAGAAGATTAGTGTTGTACGAAGAATTAATCATATAAAATAATACCAATTGGACATCAAATGCTGATATCAGTACTATAAAGTTGCAAGTGAAAGAAAAAAATAACCATATTGGAAATATGGACTTACCAAAAATACCAATCTAATTATTTAGCTACAAATAAACAATGAATTAACAGTAAGTTAAAATTTTACCTTTTCTAAAGATGAAATTTACCACCTCAAACTCATGATTCCATATAAATAAAATTCTTAAAATGTTAACTCTATTCTGTACTTTTTCTTTGGGTACATATAGGTGAAACTGAAAATGAAATGGAAAACAGAAGAAGACTAGTATTGAAAGACATCTTTTTCAGAATCCTATCACTCTTTTGTTCATCCTATATAAAAGGATACAAGAAAGGCAAAAGTAGGGGTGAAAATATCAAAGGCTAAATTGCACAAAAATACCATAAAGTTTTCCATTTTTATAATTAAATACCACATGTTGCATTTTAAATACCATAATGTTTCCAAAATTTGCATGTTACCATCATCAATCATGCAAACGTGAAAATTTTCCCCGAATGTTTCTCTATAATAATTTCCTGCTAATTTTAGGGCTTTTAACTAATAATATTTGTTAAATTTGCTATTGAACTAACCAAATTTCTTTTTCACACTTATTTTAATTCTATTTTAAAATAGAGTTGGGATACTTCTAATGAAAATTTTAGCAAATATTAATTATTAGAAAGCTCTAAAATTAGTATGCAAATATCATAGAGAAACAATTGGGTGAAAATTTCTACGTTTTCATGATCAATGGTAGTAACATGCAAATTTTATAAACTTTATGGTATTTTTTGTACCAAGATGCAACTTGTGGTATTTAATTGCCAAAACGAAAAACTTTATGGTATTTTTGCGCAATTTAGCCAATATCAAAAGCAAAGTATATGTAATCACTTTCTTTTATCAGCGGGCTCTAAATAAGAAGTAATAAGATAACAATTATAATTCCTGGTTATAAATCCACTGCAATGTAAATGCTAACCTTGTTGTAAATGAATTGATGGGTACTCAAATCTAGATTTGCGTTTTATCAATTGCTTATTAAATCTAAAGATCGTCTTAAATACCAACCAAAATAACATTCCTTATCCACTATGATCATCTTAAACTCACTCACTCACTCACTCCCTCCCTCCCTCTCTTAAGTTATCTTGGTCTACAGTGTTCTCTTCCTGGGAGGAGCATGGAGTTAAGTTCTGCCTGGGTTGGACTTCAACATCATAATTACCATTCATTAGATAATAACTAGAAAAGTAATACCTACCAAAACATACGATTACTTTGATTGTTTTTCCAACATAAAAGATTTTATTCTAAACTTAATAGAGATAAAAATACCACTCACTTTTTGACTGTTCGCCCCAATCTATCAAAAGGTAATCGTTCAATTTTTTATAAAAGTTTTTAAATATAAGATTATTTGAATGGAAATCTATTGCATGACTGTGGCTGCCTGGGTTGGACTTCAACATCACAATTACCATTCATTAGATAATAACTAGAAAAGTAATACCTACCAAAACATACGATTACTTTGATTGTTTTTCCAACATAGAAGATTTTATTCTAAACTTAATAGAGATAAAAATGCCACTAACTTTTTGGCTGTTCGCCCCAATCTATCAAAAGGTAATCGTTCAATTTTTTATAAAAGTTTTTAAATATAAGATTATTTGAATGGAAATCTATTGCATGGCTGTGGGGGCCAACAATGCGCGTAGTTATCATTGGTTGCCCCCTTGCATAAGTTCCTAGCTCCATTGCTCAGCAATATGTTTGGGTTTAACATGCATGCATGTAATTATGTAGGTGAATTATCAATTATGTACATAGTCGATGTGCAAGTGAATGTGCATGCCTTCGTACATGTGAATGTGCATGTTTCTTACGTGTGCATATGCATGACTAAGTTTGCAGGCATGTCCTCTGCATGTTTAAAGTGTATTTCTCTTGTGTGTAATATAAATAAAAGATGTCAAAAAGGGAAAATTTACAAATATCGAAGAATTTGGATGTAACTTGGTCAATGATCAAATTATAAGTGTTTTACTAAAGGTATGATAGAGGTGTTAAACATAAGCATCATGCAGAACCTAAGCTAAATTGGGAACTTTAGAGCAAATTAAAATTACTATATATAAATGTAATGAAGAAACTTGTATGGACAAAACTAGACAATAAAATTTTCAAACTAGCTTGTCTTAGATTTGCATGTTAGGCACAATATCACAAAGCATTTAAACTATACTACTTCAATTTCTAAATTTCTTAGGCAGTATTCAATATATGCTTGATTCTAAAAATGTTGCACAGTTGTAGTCCAACCTCCATGTTAAAATACCATGAAGAATATAAATGCTGAAATGATAAATTCACTCCGTGCATGCATAGGTTAAATGGAAAAAAATGAGAAAAAAATATACTGCGGAGACTTTTGTAAATCAAGTCCAGTATAGTTCAACCATTTGTAAGAATCAAAGACAAAACTAGGGATGATAACATTGAAAGAAAAGAAGTATACAGGTAGTTAATTTTCTCCACTGATATTCAAAAGAAAATAAATAGGAAAACAATTACATGTTGTTGAGTTCATAGTGTTGATTGGGACCGTAGTTAAATGTCTGAGCATGTTAATTATTGATTGGGTTCAAGACCCATAAGAAGCAAACAAAGTAGCTTCTCTTGTTCTATTTTAATAGAAAAGGAGATGCTGATGGGTGGATATCATAAGATAATTAATACGAATATAAAATGTTATATTTCCTCGATTATTATTGCCCGGACTAGCCAAAGAGAGGTTTGGTGATCGTTCAATGAAAAATCTAGAAGTAATATTGTTTAGATTAAAAATATTAACACACTATTATTGCTTCTTGTATGTCTATATGCATGTCCTACTTTATTAATGTACATGCATGTAATCATTGCTTCATTATCCCTTGCATAAGTGTTTTATAATTCTTGTGGATGCCTATATGTCACACATATACTCTAACAAAAGGAGATGTACCCTTATTGCTTACAGCTTACATATCTTCTAGATACATGGATAGTATGGTATTCATAAATATGAATTAGATTTGACAAATTCTAAAATTTGCAGTGATTCCTAGGCATACCAGTAACATATCATGGGCGTATTTGTTACTTTCCTAAATTAAAAGCTAGATGCAAAAATGATAGATTCACAATTTTGTTTAATTTTTAAAAATTGTTCAACTTATTAAATAAGAACTATAATTGTTCACCCACCGAGGGTGACCCAGATAGTTGGGAGGTTCTAATATAAATCTCACGATTTTCAGGTTTAATTCTAGACAGGGTTATATTATTAAAAGACAATTGCTCACAACCATTTATTTATATTGCATCATCTAACTTGAAAATGTTTCATAATATTAAGATAGTTGACCCTTACAACCATTCAGAGCCTTACAAATTCATGTTATAGGTGGTTGGGATGAGTTAGGGGGCAGAGATAACCGCCCCCTCAAAGAATTTTTAAATTTATATATGTATCCCTAAATTATAGGCTATGCTACCCAGTAACACAGGCTATGCTATGATATTTATTCAATCTAAGTTAGGTATATGGTAATTTATTTAACTTTCTTAAAGGTGTTGAACCCATTCAAAATCATGTCCGGACTATGGGACCCACTCTATAATTTTTGCCTATATGCTTGTCATTTCCCAGAACACCATAGAACTACTATATTACATTTTTGATTTTTTGATACTAGTCCCTTAAATCTTTAATATTTAGAAAATAGTCCCTCAAATTATTGAAATTGCTATTAGGTACCCAATTTATATCTTGTGGTGCTAATATTGATTCGAGAGATTAAATTGAAACAACTAATAAAATTAGGGACTCTAATAGAAAACGATGATGAGTTAATGAACTATTGAAACAACTTACATGAATTGGGGGGCTTATTAGCAAATTTAGAGATTTGAGGGACTAATTTCAAAATATTAAAGATTTAGGACTAGTACCAGAAAAATACTAGTTTGTAATAATTTAGAATGACTAAATAACACAAAAAAGTTATCACTATGATTTTAGAGAATCTATGTGAGCGTTTCAATGTTTATTAAGCATGTTGTCCTACTATATTTGTGATTTAAGGAAGGTATATCCGTATATGAACATGTTGTTTGTCTCAATGGGAAAGACTTGCAAAATTAAGAGAGCATTTAATTGAGTTTTCTAAACTAGTTGAGATAATTGAATTATGTCAATACTGGAGCTTCTACATCGTAAAATTTAAGGATTACTATTCTTTTGCAATTAACAAACTGAAAGAGAATTTAAATGATAGCACGCTTGACTTTATTTGCTCATTCATTTTGGACTCATCCCTATAGGTGTATTATATTCATAACTTATAACAAATTTGTACTCGTGCATCATATTTGCATGTGTATGGGATTGCATGTTCATCGTGTGTTCTATTCATGCCATCCTTGTCCGAGTTGTGAAATTTTGTCATATCTTTGTGTCATGTGTATGTGTGCATGTCATCATGATATGGTACCTTCTTCCGTCTTTCTCATAAGCTTATGTGCATGATAGAGAGGGATAGAGACAAAGGCATGTCGTAACATAATTATAAGGTATGTCCATGAACAAGCAGTGTGGATATTGCATGTTATCATGCTTCGTTAATGTGAATGTAGGCGACTCGTGCTTGGACATGCATCATGTTACGTATGTATGCATGTGTCTGCATGCACATCATGTGCATGTGTTCTTGCTTTGTTGTGCGTAAGACTGCATCTAACTAGACATCCAATGTGTTGTCTAAAAAATTATTAAACAATAATTATGATGTTGCTTCTTCGTCAATAATCACCTATGAAAAATAATCTTAAAACATGAAAAATAATCTTAAACATGAAAAATTATTTTCCATGAACAAGCAGTGTGGATATTGCATGGTATCATGTTTCGTTAATGTGAATGTAGGCGACTTGTGCTTGGGCATGCATCATGTTACGTATGTATGCATGTGACTGCATGCACATCATGTGCATGTGTTCTTGCTTTGTTGTGCGCAAGACCATCTAACTAGACATCCAATGTATTGTTTAAAAAAATTATTAAACAATAATTATGATGTTGCTTCTTCGTCAATAATCACCCATGAAAAATAATCTTAAACATGAAAAATTATTTTCCATGAACAAGCAGTGTGGATACTGCATGGTATCATGCTTCGTTAATGTGAATGTAGGCGACTTGTGCTTGGGCATGCATCATGTTACGTATGTATGCATGTGTCTGCATGCACATCATGTGCATGTGTTCTTGCTTTGTTGTGCGTAAGACTGCATCTAACTTGACATCCAATGTATATGTCTAAAAAAATTATTAAACAATAATTATGATGTTGCTTCTTCGTCAATAATCACTCATGAAAAATAATCTTAAACATGAGCAGAATATAAGATGCAGTCTAAATTTGGAAATTTCAAGAAAGAATAGTCATTGTATATGTATGCTGTATAAAAGTACTATATGTGTGTATGCCAATTAGACAGAAGAAGCTTACCATTTTAGGCAATTTTACAAAACATCTTAAATCCTATATTACTTCAATTTCTGAATCTCATCTTTTAACATGCAATGAGAATACATAGATTTCTAAATATCATCCTTTGAGTTCAAACTCATACTTGAACTAAAATTACCAAAAATAGTCGGTCGCCCACTTTTCAATTTTCAAATTAACAATCACACTTTTCATCAAAAACTATTAAATTCACTACTAAAATAAGAAGCATTGCATAATTACAAACCCAATAGAACTATTTATTCCAGTTTCGGAGCAACAATTACAAACTACAGCTTTGACATCCATAAAGTTCGATAAAAAAACTACATAGACTTGTTATTGAATTAAATGATCCCAAGACGAACATCTTTACAAAAAGACATGATAAAAGGGTTTACAGCCTAAACAGAGATCATTAGTTAGTAAACAAAACAAATATCGTAAAATACTTCAAACAGATAGTTCTAAAAGTGACAATGATATACCTTGATAACCGCATTTCAATAAAAGCCTCTCAAGCATCTTCAAGCAAACCGCATCATCATCAACAGCCAAGACTCTAATTCCCTCTGGACAAAACTCATCCTCTTCTACTTCCTCTAAAGGCCCACCTCCAGCTTCAACCATTCTTGCTCCTAACATAAACCCTTAAAAAAACAAAACCTCATTAAACTTCTTTAAGAAATCCTAATCAAAACCCAACTCGGCTCTTACAAAATACTTAAACCTATTTTTGTTTCCTCGAATATGGAAATAACACAGAAAGAGAGGAGAAAGAGAGAGAAAGAGAAAAAGCAAAGGGAGAAATTTATAGAGTAACAGAAAATGGACGGCTGAGATTGGTTGTTTCTAATTTGGCATTAAAGGAAACGGAGAGTAATTGTCAGCTAATTATTGGGTTTAATGGGACAGAATCTTTGGAGGATACTGTGGAAAGAAAATGATAAACAGTCTCTACTTATTCTTGGATGAACGCGAGTTTATAAGGAAAGGCAGAGCTTTACCCGTAGGAAATTTGGAGGGCAAAATAGAGATCTTGATCGAGAACCCTCGGAGCCGAATCCGAGTCCTTGGACCGAATACAAACCTCCATGACAGCATTCATCACGATCGTATTCACCTTCCCATATTTTTTTTTCCCCTTTGCAATCTCTACTCCCTCAAATACCTATAAAAAAACTAAACAAAAATCAGCAAAGAGAATTCCAAAAAAAAAAAAAGGCGCCGAGAGAAATCAGAGAGATGGCTGCTTTAGCTTCTTCCTACGCGTGAGATCGAAAGGGGGGGTTAGGGTTTCTCTTAAAAGATCGAGGTCGAAACCCGAGACTTTTCATGTCTCCTCCTTGGTCTGCTGATTCAGCTGATATCAGTGGCGGTGGGAGACACAGAGAGCGGGGAATGGAAGGATTAATTTCCACATAACCCCTAAACTTTCGGGGTTGTTGCACATAATCCACCTGAAACTTCGTTTATCTCACGTAACCGGCTGAAGTTTAGGCTGTCCCATAAACCTCCTGAATTTTAACTCTCTCTTACGAGATTGGCTACGTGCAATTTGCAAATAGCTAAGATGCCCGTAAAAGAGAAATTTTCAAGTTTTGCCATTTATCATTTAGCACATACCCCCTCCCCTAAATTTTGGGTTCTTTTTTATCTCAAGAAAAGTTTCGTTTCCTGCAAATTACATGTACTGCTGGGGGAGGGGGGTTCTTGTGATAAAATTTCAAATATCAGGGGGTTCTTGTGAGACGCCTCAATATCCAGGGGTTATGTGAGATAAAGTTCATAGAAATTATGTGCAATACATTCCAAAGTCTAGGGGCCTATCTGAGATTAACCCTAAGCAGAATGTACCTATGTTAACTTTTAATTTTCAAAAACATCCTATTTGGACATTTAATCTAAAAAACAGATCTATTTGACTTTTATTTTCAAAAACTGACCTAGTTTCAGCCTCAGCGCTGAGCCTCAGCGCTGAAACCAGGTCGGTTTTTATTAAAAAACTTCACAGGACTTGAAGTCCTGTGAAGTTTAGCAGCTATTTTGATAAGCTGCTAAATTTTACGAGACTTCAAGTGTCGTGTAGTTTTGAAATTAAAAAAAAAATCACTGGACTTGAAGTCCCATGAAGTTTAAGGCTGAATTTCTAGAGAAACAATTCTCTAGAAAAACGACCCTGCAACTCCACGGGACTTCAAGTCCCATGGAGTTTCGCTCTGCCTATATAACGCAAACGTGATCTGTGACTCGTCCTAGCGTCCCCTCTCCAAAAACCCTAGCCCCCTTCTGACGCAGTGTGGAAGTAAAACCTCGGAATCCACCAAGGGGACGTTCTCTGAATCCACAAAGAACAATCTTCAAATCCACAAAGAAAATATTAAAAGAGAAATTTTATAGATAAAATAAGTTTTTTTGGGATACATGTCTCTTCTTAAATAGAAAAACAAATAAGACTCCTAGTAAGACTAGAATTACAAAAAAATAGAAAGTGTCAAATTATATCCTAAAAAGACTCCCTATAATAAAGGAAACAAATCATGAATCAAAATTGAATTTGTTTCTTAATCTAATTTGACTCTAAAATTGAATTTATTTCCTAATCTAAATAGACTCCAACTTTATTACTAAAAATAAACTAAAGGTTGATTATTTTTAGATATCAGCCAAAACTGGGTGTAACTAATGAGATTTTAAAAATCTGATAATATAGTTGGCCCTGTCTCATCGAGATAGGCGATTTACATATATAATATGTTAGAATCTGTCTTCTGGGTTGGAAGATATGATCATTTCTTTGCGGAGGTCAATAATACGTATAAATCTGTATTTAGCTCGTGATTGTCTGCATCCCTCATGAAATTATCAGTTAAACGTCCTACATCATTCTCCCCTTGTTGAAAGAAGCTCGACCTCGAGCTTATATTTGCTTGAATAGTAACTTCATCGATAAATATCTTTCTTAACCTTCATCGATCAGCATCTGCCTTGTACTTAGCAATAATTTTCTCCATTTGTTCTTTTACCTTCTCGGCTAGAACTTCTTCTAAATCAAATTCATATATTATTCTTTCCGACATTATGTGTATTTTATTGGCGGCATGTGGATGTGTAGTTGACTTCAAAACTCCTCAAAATATGTTCCATGTTGCTTCCCGTATTCTAGTGCTTGAAGTATCATCAAATTCTTTTTAAAATTATTCACCAACTTTGCTTCTAGGGAAGAAAATCCCGCGTCATACTCTATACACAATTCTTTCATCTCCTTCGTCTCTAGCCCTCCACCAAGAAATTTACACATATCATCAATTGTCTCACTCTCTAATTTATCCTTCTTCTCCATCGGGACAACATCAATATGTGTAATATCACTCTCAACCCCTTTGAGAATATCATGCATATCATCCATCTTCACTATCATATCACCATAATGAATCTCATGCATAACGATTGTTTGCACCTTAGGAGGAATTTCGGTAGGGGCAGGTTATTCTTTTTTAGTTACAACCAAGTCATAGACCTCTTCAGATTGCTTCAAGTTTTTTGCTAAAGCCTTGTTATTTGCCACCAAATGTTTCTTCTCCTTAGTAGCTTTTATCTTAGATGACTCCTTTTCTGTAAGAGGCAGAAGTACAATTCGGTGTTCATCTTTCTTGAAGATATAAATATTATCTCTACTTCTGTGGGTAGCTCCAATATCGAATTACTATGGCCTACCTAAAAGCATATGATAAGTATCCATCTCGACCACATCACACAACACATCATCAAAATACATGTGACCGATAGAAAAAGATACACGATACATCTCATCGTTCTACACATCATTTCCCTTGTGAATCCAATCGATCTTGTAGAGAGGTGGGTGTTTCTTTGTCTTCAAACCTAACTTATTCACTATACACCAAGAGACAATATTCTTTCTACTGTGATTGTCAATAATAACATCACAAATCTTCTGCATCACAGTGCACCTCGTACGGAAGATATTATGCTCTGGAGGTGATTCTTCTTTCTTTATTGCTTCTTTAGTACTCTTCCCAACTCCAAGGTCTTGCTTAGGGTCATTATCACTGTTGAATTCATCATGTAGAGTCGAATCACATCGCTAGCGTCCATCAACACGATTTCGGACTCTTCTCATGTTCAGACACTCCACTGTCGACGCAAGTCGCTCTACGACAGTCTTCGTCTGATTAACATCGGTCTTCAGCACATCGAACTCAGTTCGAGAAATAGGGGTTCATCACCTACCATCGGATCAGAGGAATAAGGCTCAGATACCAATTGATGCAGCGTGGAAGTAAAACCTCGGAATCCACCAAGGGGGCGTTCTCTGAATCCACAAAAAACAATATTTGAATCCACGAAGAAAATATTGAAAGAGAAATTTTATTAATAAAACAAGTTTTTTTTGGGTTACATGTCTCTTCTTAAATAGAAAAACAAATAAGACTCTTAGTAAGACTAGAATTACAAAAAAATAAAAAGTATCAAATTATATCCTAAAAAGACTCCCTATAATAAAGGAAACAAATCATGAATTACAAAAAAAATAGAAAGTATCAACTTATATCCTAAAAAGACTCCCTATAATAAAGGAAACAAATCATGAATCAAAATTGAATTTATTTCCTAATCTAATTTGACTTTAAAATTAAATTTATTTCCTAATCTAAATAGACTCCAACTTTATTACTAAAAATAAATCAAATGCTGATTATATTTAGATGTCAGCCAAAACTAGGTGTAACTGATAAGATTTTAAAAATCTGACAATCTATTTGGCTCCGTCTCGTCGAGATAGGCGATTTACATATATAATATGTTAGAACTTACCTTCTGGATTCGAAGATATGATCATTTTTTTACGGAGGTCAATAATACATATAAATCTGTATTTAGCTCGTGATTGCCTGCATCCCTCATGAAATTATCAGTTAAGCGTCCTACATCACCTTCCTCCTCAACCTGCTCCCCTCACCCCAGCCCTTACCCCCGCCCCTAACCCCTCCCCTCACCAGCGCCGCCACCGACCACGACGTCGTCCCTACCACCACCCATCACCGTCGTCGTCACCGTCGGAGTTCACCGGAATTAGGACATCGTCAATATTAAGGTAAAATTTTGAAAAAAAATATTTTCAATACTAAGTTTTTATATATTCACATAATTCTTGGTGATTACTTGTAAAAAATTAGATTTTAAAATAAATTTGAAATTATTTATGAATTTTGAGGAGAAAAATTAAATAATATTATATATGAAGTTAGAGGGGAAATTATCGACATTTGTAACCGTGAAGTTAGAGGGGAAATTAAGGTTTGGCATTTGGTTAAAATTAGGGTTTTACTAATTATGGGTTTACTAATATCGATCTAAGAGATTTACTATCTAAAATTATGGGTTTCTAATATTGATATTAATTTTTTTACTCTTCAGAGGTAACAATGAATGATCGAATCGTAATTCTTTGTTCATATGATGGGAAGATTAACTATCTCAAAAATAATATGCTCGTTTATAAAGCTTGGGTCATCCACGATGAGAGAGTACTAGAGTTGATAGCTCAAGCCGGGTTCCAAAAGTGTTCAACAGTGCGATATATTAGGCTTGATTGGCCGCTTATTAGTGCACTTATTGAGAGGTGGCGGCCAGAGACCAACACCTTCCACATGCATATAGGGGAGTGTACTATCACATTACAGGATGAAGTCGTCATATTTGGGCTCTGCATCGATGGCCCGGCATTGCGAGTACCGATGACCATAATTGGGCTGAGGTATGTGCTAGGCTTCTTGGTCAGGTACCCGACTTGAGGAGTGGTGCGATGAAGCTATCGTGGCTTCGTCAGACATTTCAGGGAGATATACGAGCAGATGCCTCCATTAAGACGCTTCAGTATCATGATCGTGCGTATATATTGCACATGATAGGGTGCACGCTATTTCTTGATGCGAGCAAGACTCTTGTACATGTACGATGGCAGCCACTGCTAGAGGATATTGGTGTATGCGGTGCACTATCATGGGACAATACGGTGTTGGCATACTTATATAGAGAATTGGGTAGGGTATCCTTGATGCATAATAAAGAATTCAAAGGATGTTGCACATTGATACAAATTTGGTTATGGGAGCACATTCATAATGGACGACCTACTTTGCTTGTGCATCGTGACCTACATGGCCAGTTTTCTTTGGCATACAAGTATAATTGTCCACACAATTTTATTCATATTGAATTTATACTCATATATTCTTTATGCCAAATAGGTATAACGTGTAGTACGCTAAGTATAAATCAGCGACGCGACATCGTGAGTTTTACCGCAATGAGCTTGATGGCCTCCCACACGAAGAGGTAAATATAAATCTCAAGTCGTTATGAATATTATAGTTTTTGTTTGTTGATACTGATAAATGTTTTATCTTATTTCAGTTCAAGTAGAGACCATATTCACCACCGAAGCTCGATATGCATACTCTTGCACCCATCTGTCGAGATAGTCTCAGCTTGTGGAGAGCCAGAGTTCCATTAATATGTTAGGAGATTGTGGAGATGCATGTCTCCGACCGTGTGCTAGGCAATTTCTGCTCTCTCAGCATGTGTCAGATCCTGTCGAGCAGATTGATCGTAGGCGATGACCTACATCACATCATATGGATTGGTCCGTACTCCGGGCGGCCTACATAGACAGGTGGATTCACAGGTGGGATTGCATACAGGATACGAGAGACACAACTATTGACTATACCACGTATATACGTTGGTATTGGGATGTCACACGTAGATGGATCACGCGTGACCCACAGCCATCAGCTGGACACCTATCACACCCGCCGACAGATAGTTACATCCCTAGTGGGATGATCGGGAGAGATTATGTAAGTTTCTAATTATGATAAATTAAAACTGTAAACTTTTAATTAAGATGTTATTTGCTAAATTGTGTATATATTGTTTAACTCATAGGTCCGTGTTTTTGATAACATTGAAACTAAGATTAATAAGCACATGCCTAAGATTTAGGATCCGGCGGCGTTAGGGGTCTTCAACAGAATCAAGCAGATAATAGCATAGGTGTTTCACAAGACTCATGTCGACGAGTTTGCAGGCCGTGAGGACAGGTCACGATCATTTGGGCAAATGTACACGCGGCGACGTAGGCCACGTGACGATGACGATGTAGCCGGCACTTTGCATGCTGATGGAGCCGGTACTTCTCAGCAATCGAGGCTCATCAGTAGGAACGCAGGGGGCGGGGAAGAGCGAGGGGAAGGGGGAAGAGAGGGAGGGGAAGGGGGAAGAGAGGGAGGGGAAGGAGAGGAGGAATTTTGGGTTGTATGTGATCTTATTTTGTTAAAATTTGTAACTTTTATGATTTTTTAAATACTATACTTTTGTGGATCAATTATTGTTTATATATATGATCTCCATGAGTATTGTTTGATTCGTGTTTAATTCATGGCTAAAATTTAAGAATATTGTTATAATTCAGTATATATGAGATCGATTATTGTTCATAGGTGTATTTTCATGATTATTGTTTGATTTAGTATATATTGTTTGATTCGTGTAAATCGATTAATTCATGGCAAAAATTTCATGTATATTTTGGATTGTATGTGTAGCTTTCGTAATTACGTTGCATATATAAAAACATGCACATGCTATGCATGTTTTTTAACCTGCAACTTCACGGGACTTCAAGTCCCGTGAAGTTGCAGTTCTTATTTTCCAGAGTCGCGATTCTCTAGAAAATAAGCTAAAACAACTTCACGGGACTTGAAGTCCCTTGAAGATTTTTTGAACTTTCAAACTTCACAGGACTTGATCAAACTTCACAGGACTTCAAGTCCTATGAAGTTTAGTAGCTTATCAAAATAGCTGCTAAACTTCACGGGACTTCAAGTCCCGTGAAGTTCGTGAAGTATTTTCACAAAAGCTGACCCGGTTTCAGCGCTGAGGCTGGAACCAGGTCGTTTTTTGAAAATAAATGTGAAATGAGTTGGTTTCTGGGATTAAATGTCCAAATAAGACGTTTTAAAAATTTGTCCCCTTCAGTTGGTCATGTAGTGATATATCTCTGGGCGATTATCCATGTGTGTAACGTTTAATCTTCTGCCCTCCAACTCTCTCTCTCCCCCCCCCTAAACACTCACACATCCCTCTCAACTATATTATCCTATAACCCCCCTATAGGTTTAAGTGCAATTTTAACATGGGTCGGTAAAAATTGTATAGGAAGATATTTTGTCATTCAAATTGCGGTTCATGCTTTTAGGGGTCTTTTGGAAAACATGAAAGTTGAAGGGGATTTTCTGATTACCCCTAAAGGGGTATCATATTTTGAAAGTATGGGGGTTTATTTGATAATTGTCCAAAGCTAAAGGGGCATTTCTTAAAGGGTTAATTTCAATAACCCCCCTAAACTTTGGGGGCTATTGCACATAACCCCACTAAACATTTTTTATCACACATATCAGCCCTAAACTTTGGGCATCTCACAATACCCCCTTCAAGTTTGAACTTTTCTCACCAACGCCCTCTACATGTAATTTATAGTTAATTTAAATTTTCTTGAGAGATTTTTAAACTTCATCATTTACAGACATCATACCCTATCTCCCACATTTTGGATGTCTTTCTCTAACTAAAATTTGAGCAATTTGAAATTACATGTAGCGAGGTCTGGTGAGAAAAATTCAAAGCTAGGGGTGGGGACGGGGGGAGGGGGGTGAGGGTTGTGTAGTGGGATCCAGTAATTTTTCTTAGGGGTCGGATGGCAAGTATATATTTACCCAAAACTTGATATATCATATTGTAAAATAATATTCTTAACAATCATGCTAAATTTCTAACTTAATGGACTAAAATTAAAATGGGATACAAGTTTGTAAGAATTTGGGCGAAAATATATTTAATTTGGGGGTGGGGAAAAGTGTAAATGTAGGGGTTACGTGAGAAAATACAAATTTACATGTTCTAAGCGTGCAACTGCACCCCTAAAGCATGTATATAAATTTGCCACTGGGGTTGCAGTACACCCAAAGTTCAAGGGGGTCAAGTACACCCAAAGTTCAAGGGGGTCAGGTGAGATAAACAAAGTTTTCATAGTTACCACCCAAAGTTCAAGGGTTTTTGTGAAATTAACCCGTTCTTAAATGTAGCCTTTCAAATATTTTTACGAATTCTTATTTGGTTTGAGCTGATATTTTAATTATTGCACTGTTTACAATAATTTCTATTATGTATATATCAATTAAAGATTTATAATAAAAACTGTATATGATTTTCTATTTAAAGTCTTTAGATCCCTCCACCCCACCCGCCAGTATGGAGGCATAATATAGCGAGATAAAAAAAAAAATGAAAGCCAATAATATTTTAGCGTTTTCCTAGTTTTGAATTCTTTCAATTGTGTCCCTCACATTTTTACTCACTGATATCCTAATTTTTCTTCGTGGTTTTATTTGGAGCAATGTAAAGAAAGCTTTCGCTCCGAGCTTAGAGGGTGACTATCCTTTCTCACTCCAAGTTTCAAAATTTGTCTAACTGAATTAAATTCTGGTCTAGTTTGAATATTGTATTAAATTTTATATTATGTTAAAAAATATGGTAAAAGAGTGAATCAGCCCTTTGCATTTATGCATTAACAATCAAAATACGCATTTTACATGAACACATGAGACAACTTTAAGAATGCATTTGCATGTTTCTTAGATTCAAGATTAACTGTTGCAGATTTTGCTGGAACATCACAAATTATGTGAATATATAAGATATTCCTACATGAACTTCCATCAATACTAGCCTTTAGATTATGATCAGCTCATTCACAAAGGAAAAAATATGGAGGAATTTTCAAAACAATCCCGTATACACTTTTAATCCCCATAAAAAGACATGTTTTCAACTTACTTTCAGAAACAGACCTGGTTTCAGCCTCAGCGCTGAAACCTGGTCGGTTTCTGAAAATAAGTTGAAAACGGGTCTTTTTTGGGATTAAAAGTCCAAAGAGCACTGTTTTGAAAATTTTTCCAAAAAAATATATATATCTCAACATACCAACGAAAAAAGCCTGAGTTTAGTTAGAAGTGCAAACCAAAAGCAGAGGATCAGTTCCATTTGCCGAAAGCAAGCCCCATAACCTCAAATTTAACACAAGACCGCAATAGTCTTTCAAATTACCACTTTTTTTAGAAGTTCAATATTTCAATTACAAGACAATTTAGAACATCCAAGGCTCCACTTGGATTCAAGGAATTGAAGTGAAAAAGAAATTTACTACATTTTACATTTACTTCAATTACCTCGTATCCAAACATAGCCTCACAGTTCATTATGTAAAACAGAAAATACATGGATTTCGTTTTCTCCCCGTTTGATGCTCTATGACATAACAAAATGTAAATAAAACTGAAAACCGTCTCAAATTTTCAGCAGGTATTACAACAACTACGGAGTCGGTAGCAAAGCTCATGCATATATTCCAACTGAATACTGGATTGTCCACCACTATTGCATTTTTACCTGTGGATATTTAAAAAGTATGGATATCACTGATGGTAATTTTAGGCTGACATAAGAGAATGTATTTGTGATGAAGAGGATAACACTGAAATAAATAATTAAGTTAATTAGTTCATTGTGAGAAAGTAATACCAGATTTTACCGCTCCAAGCTCAAAGGTTATCCCCGTCATCAATATCTTTGGATCCTTGAAACTGAAATATTTATAAAATAAGAGGGTAACCAAATAGAATGTATGCTAAATCTTGCAGTAAAATAGATTACCATAAAAATCTATGCCAGCAAGAGTATGCTAACAGCCTGCGTAATTAAGCCAAGAGGGGAGGGAGGGGGCGGGGGAATCAATGCTATAGATTATTTTGAAAAGTAAGGTGGTCACTGTCCAGTGGATAAAAATATATATAGATCTGGCATGACACTGAAAACCATCACATAGACATATACATGAACAGACTATATATCAACATACATAGTACATATGGAAAGATAAACTTGTCTATAAATCCTAAGTACATGGCAAGAAACTTCAATTCAGGCTTCCAGCAAGTTGCGTCAACTGTAGACATAGAACCGAGAGGGCCTCAGGGTTAGAAATTCTAAATCCATCAAGTGATAGTAACTGAACTTGAATAGTCTAGAACTACTAGCCTTTGTTCACTCAAGTGTGAGTAAATCACACAGATATGATGGTGCCAAAATCTAGTTGAAAAGATGATTATATTAAATTGTGGGAACAAGACCAAAGGTCTGATTCTTGGCGATAAATGATGAGCAAGTTCAGGAAGTTTGGATTGAAAGTTTTAACACAATTAATTTTGTTTTGTCAGCATTTGTCAAGATCAGGATGTTGTTTCCATGTTAAAAGCCGAGATCAGGAGTCTACGCCTGACAACTTTGATTCAATGTTCAAAACGTTACTATAATAGTTCATACGGAAAACTTGTTGCATATTACAATATAGCAAAAGCATAAACTAAGTTACCTGATGAAACACTGAATGAAGATCATCCGCTGAATCACTATTACTGAGGTGAAACGGTATTTTGTCCAGTGAATAGTCCAGAAACGGTGCTAAGTGTTCCAATGAGTTAACTCCCTCTAATTGTTCCCGTCCGCTGCTTTCTGGGATCATTGAATTTTCATTCATTTCGGTACCAAATTTAAAATCTGATCCAGTCTGAGCATTGAACTGATTTGGTTGACCTTGATGATGTTGCACTACACATGAGTTCAATATCAGGCATTCCAGAATGACATCGGTAAGTGATTGATATTTTCTTTGGATTTAAACTAAAAATAATGCAACCTTCTTTGTAAATATGGCTGTAAAGAATTTCAATGAGTTCAGCGATAGAATCAAGGGTTAATTGTGGACAGACCCATGTACTGTCGCCCAATTGCGGATAGATCCTTGTAGCTCTGTTCGTTGACTGAATTTTTTTGACTCTTTTACCCTTGGGGATCTATCTTCAACAATAAAACTACAAGGGGTCTATCCGCTATTGAGCGATGGTACAGGGTGTCTATCCGCAATTAACCTAAAATCAAAGACTTATTCTAACAAAAGAAAAAGTTGTTTTGAGAGACAAGAGTTACTTGGAACCAATGCATCAAATCCAGCTGCAAACGTATCTTTGAGGCCACCACGTTCTGACCTCTGCTCAAGTGTTGAATCAAAACCTTGTTGGCTAGGAACAAATCCGAGTTGATTAATTGAACTTGGACTAGGAGTTATACCATTGAGCCCATGAATACTAGAACCATTTTCCCTAAAGCTAGAAGATTGATTCATTCCTGGGACAAGAGATTGGTAAATCCTGGGATTGGATGCTAATTGAGGAGAGCTTGTTTGCATAACCAAAGGGTTTGATGAAGAGCCAAAATGGTTGAAACTTAATCGGTTTGCCTGAGGAGTCGATGAATAGGGGTGGGGTATATTGTTTTGATCGACGTAAGGAAATCGGAACCATGTTTGAGCCATAGGATTGTGACCAATATGGGATTGTTGAAATGTAGCAAATGGAATTGGCTGTTGATGGTTTTGGGGTGCCTGAACTTGAAATCCTCCAAGAGAGCTAACACTAGAAACTTGATTAATGAAAGACGAGAGACCAGGATTTGCAGTATTTGCACCACTTCCACTGGAATCAATATTACTAAAATAGTGTTGGGTAACCGCAATGCTATTTTCCTTCAGGGATTTCCTGTACTTCTGCGCATAACAAAACAGACTATGAATAAAAAATATATAAGAAAAGATAATAACTAATAACACAAATCAAGAATATTAGAAAACTAAATTTCACTACAGAAAACGAAGATAAAAGGTAACCTGTAAATGACTGGCAACATTCTCTCTTGTAAGCCCAGGGACATTCATGAGATCAAGTATTTTTTTGGGGACTGCTCCTGGAAGATATAAGGGGGGGAAATTCACTTCTTTGGAATTCGGAAACAAGATTCTATGGAGATGTATAATGTGCTAATTCATACTTACGGTCTAAGCCTAATTTGTTAATGGCATCTATGAACTTAGAGTGTAGATCCGATTTCCAAGCAACCCTAGGCTTCTTTGGAGCGGCGAGGTCTTCATCTGAGTCTTCATCACTATATCCAACGCCTTTGTCTTCTTCAGATTCTGATATAGTTTCAAGCTTGTTAGCATCATCGTTGGTGACCTTTGCATCAAGCAGTGATTTCTTCATTACATGCTTCCATATGAGCTGGAGTTCTTCTAATCGCACGGGTTTCACTAGATAGTCACAAGCTCCATGTTTTATTCCTTTCATCACTGTTTTGACTTCACTGTCAACAGAAAACACTGCAAAAAAAATGATCATATGAGATCAATTAATACCCTGAATCAGATAAAATAACGAAAAAGATAGTAGTTTAATCATAGTAAGGAATTGAATCTTTAGATAAATTATTTACTTACTAATTACAGGCAAGTTCATCTCAACACCAACAATCTCTGTAAGCGTGAATCCATCCATGTCTGGCATCTTAACATCACTTATTACAATATCATAATTTCCCTTGTTTTCTCGTAATATTTGCAAAGCTTTATTTGGATGATGTGCAATAGTAACTGCATGTAATTTAACAATCAACAAAAATAGTTGTATTTTGGAAAGTAAATTAATTCATGTATAGAAGGGCTTTTCAAAGAATAACTAAGGAAGTTCAAAATCTTCACAGGTCAAATATTACAACAAACATATAAGTTATTAGAACAAATCATTGTACAGAAGGCCAGAAGTTAAAATTTTCTTGCTTGTGTACAGCATATATAATTCCAAACTTCGTAAAGAAAAGAAAATCATGAATCTGCATATTCTAGTTTGTACTAGTTCATTATAACAAAACAATTAAAACACACCCAAGATTAATAGAGACATTAAATTGATGGGAAAATTTGCAAAATAGTCCGTTTTTGCTAATTATTTAGCAAAATAGACCGTTTTGCTAAATAATTAGCAAAATAAACCTTTTTTTGAAAAAAAAATGTCGATTTTGAAAAACAAGACTCAGAAAACATACGGGACTACTAGTCCCGTATCCCGTATGTTTAGAGCCAACTTAATCACGGATTAGTGACTCAGAAAACATACGGGACTAGTAGTCTCGTATGTTTTCTGAGTTCATCTCAATATTTTGTGAAATTTTCTGAGTTCACTAATCCGTGATTAAAACATACGGGACTACTAGTCTCGTATGTTTTCTGAGCTGTTTTGCAAAATAGACCTCTTTTTGGCCTGTTGGCCAAAAAGAGGTTTATTTTGCTAATTATTTAGCAAAACGGTCTATTGCTAAATAATTAGCAAAAATAGACTATTTTGCAAATTTTCCCTAAATTGATTGTAAGCAAATAAATGACGAATTAACAGTACGTTGAAAGTTTTAACCTTTTTTTAGTATAAAATACACCACCTCAAAATCATGATTCAATAAAAATAAAATTCAAAAAATGTTATCTCAGTTATGTACATGAATATAGGTCCAACTAAAAACAAAACGGAATACATAAGAAAACAATTACTGAAAAATGTCTTTTTCATAATCCTATCACTTGTTCATCTTACATAAAAGGATAGAAGATAGGCAAACGAAGGGATGAAAATATCAAAAGCAGAGCATGTCAATCGCTATATATTATTGGCTGGTTCTAAACATGATATAATAGCGTAACAATTATTATTCCTAGTTATAAAATCCTCATCAATATAAAGATCAAAGTGTTGGCCATGTTGATAATGAATTGATGGGTACTCCATGATCCATCTACCTTTGGGTTTTATCGACTACTTAATGAACCTAAAGATTGTCTTAAAATACTCACAAAAATAACTTTCATTGTAGTCTTTTTCATTGAAAATTTGTTATTCACTGGATAGCAAAAAATAATTAGTACCGAGCCAAAATCTCCCATTACTTTGATTGTTTTTCAAATAGAAATCGAAGGATTTTTTATAAACTTAACTAGGATAAACATGCCAATTACTTTGATTGTTTTCCCCAAGCTGCCAAAATGAGTTGTTCAATTTCCAATAAATACTTTTTTTAAAAAATTACTTGAATGGAATTTTATGCATCTCTATGGGTACTAAGAAAGCATGTATTTATTATTGTTTGCCCCCTTGCATAAGTTCCTATCTCCATCATTCACCAATAGGCTTGGATCCAAATCTTTTGTGTGTGTGTAATTATGGTATGTGAAGTTAGTGTCCATGCATGCGTTGATATTATGGACATGAGATCATGTATATGGTCGACCTTTGTGCATGTGCGCATAAAATAATGATAGAAGCCACGGGGTCTGAGTAAGTAGTTAAAGGGTAGATGACGGTATGCAGAGATGTGTGTGCATGTGGACGTGCATGCCCTCGTGCATGTGGACGTTCACGCCTTCGTACACGTGGACGTGCATGTGTTTGTGCATGTGGTCATGCATGCCTTCATGCATGTTTCTTATGTGTTCTGTATGGATAAGTTTGCATGCATGTCCTCTACAAGTTCGTGTGTATTTATTTTGTATCCAAGAATACAAATAAATAGATGTCTAAAAAGAAAAAAATTAAAAATATTGAATAACATTTGGGTGTTACTTAGTCAATGATGAAGCTTACCACTGTTTTACTAAAGATATGATAGAAGTGTTAGATATAAGCATCATATAAAACTTAAGTTAAATTGGAAATTTGGATTGAACAAAGTTATTGTATATGCATGCTACAAAGAAACCTGTATAGCTGAAACTAGATAGCAAAATTTTCAAACTAGCTAGCTTGTCTTAGAATTCCATGTAAGATAGAATATCACAACACATTTTAAACTCTATACTACTTCAATTCTAAATTTTATCTCCAGTACTCATCTATGCTTGCTTTCTAGAAAACTTGCATTGTTGTCGTCCAACTTATGTGAACATACCTCCTTAATCAAATCATTTTGTTGAAGAATATAAACCCTGAAATAATGAATCTCCTCTGTGCGTCTATAGATTAAAAGAAGAAAATGAAACAAATGAAGAGATTATGTTGCAAACTTTGAGAATGCACACCTCTATAGCTTGGCCATTTGGAAGGATGAAAGTCAAAAGTAGGGATGATAGTATTGAAAGAAAAAAGTATGAAATTCTTTTACCTTTCTTCACTGATATTAAAAATTAAATAAGTAGGAAAATAAATTATAAACCCTATTTGTTATAATATTTTTTCAAGTTCAGGGTGTTGACTGCATCAACGATGAATGAATCACCAAATAGTTTCGTTGTCTATGTCTGTTAAATATTGATTGGGTTCACGATCATTTACAAAAGCAAGAAAAGTGGATTTTTCTTATTTTCTTTTAATAGAAAAAGAAATAGTGACCATGGATGTGATTAGATAATTAATCACAAATATAAAATGATCCATTTCCTCGATTATTTTGCTCTAACTAGCTAAAGAATAATTGGGTGATTGCTCAATGAAAAATGTACAAGTAATATTGTCTAAGTTTAAAAAATTAAAATAATATTATTGCTTCTTGTATGTTTATGTACATGTGTCAGTATGTCAATTTACTCGTATACAGTTATTGCTTATACCTTGCATAAGTTCTTATATTGTTTTTGTCGAATCGTATAAGTAACATATATTTTCTAACAAATAGAGATGTCCCCTCATTGCTCACGTATCTTTAGTTGGACAGTCCTATACATCATGATTATGGATTGGATTCTCTGTTTGTCATATCCTAAAATTTGCCATGTTTCATAGGCATATTGAGAATATATCGAAGGTGTATGTGTTGTTGGATAGCAGGTTCCTAATCTGTTTTGGTAACAGATTATTGGGATTCCTAATCTGTTTTGGTAATAGGTTATTGGGATTCCCAATCTGTTTTGGTAACAGGTTATAGGATTCCTAATTTGTTTTGATTTTGGTTTTAGAATTCCTAGTATGTTTTTGGTTTTAGGATTTCTATATATATGGAACGATTGGAAGAGAGCAGAGAGAAAAAAATTGGAGATATTTGGAGCACAGAAAAAAGGTATTTTCCGAGCTATTGGTTAGGGTTTTGTTTGGATAGAATTAGAGATTTGTTGGTGAGATTAATTGGTGAGTTTGATTGATTTGTAATCTCAGTTTGTACTCTTCTTCTCTATTAGTGAAAAACTCTATCCTCTTCTTGTCTCATGGACGTAGGCAACTTGCCGAACCACGTTAAATGGTTGTTTGTGTTTGTGGCATTGATTTGGTTCGTTTGGTCTTCTCTCGACGTTTGTTTGATTTGATTTCTCGTAGCACATTGGTTTGGTTGTTTGGCTTCCGCAGCGCTCAACATGTGTATCCAAGAGTTTCCCAGGTTAAAAATTAAATGCAAGAATGATAGGTTCACAATTTTATTTTATTTGCAAATACAATACACTTGAAAAAAAAATCGATAAAAATTCGATTTCTTTATAAGGAATATCATTGCTCACATAACCCTTGATTTATATTATGTCATTATTAACTTGGAAATATTTCATATAAGATATTTAACTCTTGCAATCATTACAAACCTTACAAATTCATGTTACAAGTAATGAGCATTAATATACACATATATAATCATTGTTATCGAGGCGTAAGGCGCAATGCGGGGTGCAAAGGTCCCTTACGCGCACCATGCGCAAGGCGCACAACGGTGTACATGTCTCACTAAATTAAGGCGCACAACTCAAACTAATATTTTCCAACATAAGACAAAAAAGCATAAGCAACATGCTTATAAATTTTTACATAGAAAGACCAATATAATTTCACCTACTAAATCACGAAAGAGACTTAATTAGCATGCATAACATAAAAAAAGTTCATAAGTTTCCACAAATCACAATGCAATATAATCTCCAACATAAGCAAAAGTCTATGAAACAAAACAAGCAAGTAACAAATAAGAAATATGTATTTTTATTTAAAATATAATATATGTATTTTTAAGTAACAATTAAGTGATTAAAAAAACATGGTTGTTCATAATTTTCTAGTTAGCATTCTTAATTATTATTTGCTAGTTAGCATGAAAAGATGGAGAATGGAGGTAACAATTACATATTTACATGTTCATAATTTTCTAGTTAGCATGATATTTAGAGAAGTTATAATTAGCAAACAAGTATACTAAATTACTAATTATTGTTTTCTTTTTATAGGTTAAACATGAAAAGATGGAGAATGGATTAGCAACTAGCAAGAAAGAGTCTACTACATGATGTAAATATGTAATATGTAAATTATTTAAAAAAAACAGAAGAAAGAGTCTATTACATGACGCGGGTGTCAAGCGTGTGCAAGGCGCGCGCCTCGTGTGCGTGCAGCGCCCCGCCTCTGGTGCGGGGAGCAATTGTGCCAGCCCGCAGCGTCCGGGGTGCGCGCCTCGATAACAATGTATATAATGTCATTCTATTCACACTCATAACATATTCATACTTGTGCATCATACGTGCAATTTATTGGTGTATGTAAATGCATGCACGTCATTTGTTGTATTAATGCCATCCATGTCCTAGTTTGTGAAAGTTTTTCATCTTTGTGTCTATAACATATTGTACAACTATCCCATATTCATTTCCCATGCAAGCAGAAGTGTGAAATTGTTGTGTTTGTATGCATTCATGTCATCATGGATATAGTTCCTTCTTCCATCTTTCTCCGTATGCTTTTATGCGTGATCGAGAGGGATAGAAATTAAGGGATGTGAGAATGCAATTGTAAGATATGTCCATACACAAGTGGTCAGGGATCGCATGGTGCCATGTTTCGTTTATGTGAATGTTAGCGACTATGTGCTCGTGCATGCATCATGTTACATATGCATGCATGTGTCTACATGGACATCACGTGCATGTGTTTGTACCCTTGTCATGCGTAAGACTGCATCTATCTAGATGTCCAATACAAGGTCTAGAAAACTACCCAACAATGGTTGTGATATTGTTTCTTCATCAACAATTAAGATAACAATATCTTGTTAGAATTTCCATGAAAAATAATCTTAAATATGACCAGAATATGAAACATAACCTAAATTTGGGAACTCTAAGAGAACTAAAGCCATTATATGTGTAATGTTGTTCAAGAACTACTATGTGTGTATATGTTAAATAGACACAAGAAGTCTACCATTTTAGGCAATTGTGTTAACCATCTTCAATCCTATTATTACTTAAGCCTCTGCTTCAAATTCCATCCTGGATATGCAATGTGTACAAATATAGATTTCTAAACATCATGCTAAAAGGTTATAAGCTCTTTGCTGCCCAAACTCATGTATGAACTAAAATTACCAAATCACTCACCTACTTTTCAATTTCAAATTGCCAACCATAATTTTCATAAAAATTATTAAATTCGCTACCAAAATAAGACACGTTGCATAATTAAAAACCAAATTGAACTATATGTTCCAGTTTTGAGGTGACAGTTACAAACTACAACATGTATATCCATAAAATTCTAGATCACAAACAACACAAAACCCAATATATAACGAATTAAATAATCCAAAAAATATCCTTACAGAAAAATATGCCAAAAAGGTTTAAATCCTAAACAGGAATCATTAGCAAGTAAAAGAATATCTGAAAAAGATTCAAACAAATAACTATAGAAGGGAAATAATATACCTTGGTAGCCGCATTTCAATAGAAGTCTCTCAAGCATCTTTAAGCAAACAGCATCATCATCAACTGCCAAGACTCTAATCTCCTTTGGACAAAACTCATCCTCTGTTGATTTCTCTAGAGACCCACCTTCAGTTTCACCCATTATTACTCCTAACATAAACCCTTAACAAAATCAACTTAAACCTAAATAAACTTCATTAAGAGATTCTCTCATCAAAACCAACTCACTCTTAGAATCCTTATACCTGTTTTCTTTCCTCTAATAAAGAAATAACAAGAAAGAAGAAAAAAGAGAGAGAAAGAAAGTGGAGAAATTTATAGAGTAAAAAATGGACGCTGGCATCGATTGTTTCTAATTTGACTTCCCAGGAAATAGAAAGTAATTGTCAGGTAATTACTGGGTTTAATGCAACAAAATCTTTGGAAGATACAGAGAAGAGAAATTGATAAATAGGCTCTAGTTTTTCTTGTATGCCCGCCAGCATAGAAGGAAAATGGGGTACATGCACAGACACATGAGCAAGTGTATCAGTAGGAGATTTGGAGGAAAAATAGAGAATTGATTCCCCTCAAATATAGTTACTGTATTTTTTAATAGGGGAATGTATGTCTCTAACGTGTGTATGAATTAGATATATTGGTAGGTTCGCAAGTTTAGAAGGAAGGATGAGTACAGAGACTGAGAGATGATTGCATCTGTATAAAATTTGGAGGGTATCGTATCAAATATGAAATATCACATGTAGATAGCTAGGAATTGCATACTGGATTAGCTTGGAAACAAAGTGGAATCCGTTTTTACAGGGGAAGTGTCTTTTTGCATGTGCAAGTATTGAATTACTCGGATCTCTGTACTGACGCGAGTTTAGAAGGAAAGATGAGTACAGAGGCTGAGAGATGAGCGAGCAGATCTGTAGGAAATTTGGAATTTATAATGGAATATATCACACATAGCTTACAGGAAATAGCGAATTAGATTAGCTTGGAAACGGATTGGATTCACTTCAAAGGGAAATGCCTGCCTTCTGCGTATATGAATTGAATATATTGAACTGGATGTCTATACTGATGCAAGTTTAGAAGGAAAGATGGGTATATAGGCTGTGACATGAGCTAACCAATATGTAGGAAACTTGGAGTGCATTGTAAAAATATCACGTGCAGCTTACTAGGAAATAGCTAATTGGATTCACTGTGAAGGGTGTGTGCCTTTTTGCACGTAGACCAATTAAATACATTGGATCGGATTTTCATATGTACGCAAGTTTAGAAGGGAAAACGGCACAGAGGCTGAGATATGAGGAAGCTTATTTGTAGGATATTTGGAGTATTTCCTAACATATATCATGAGTTTTAAAGGGGGTTTCCTTCTCATATGTGTATATGAATTGGACACATTAGGCCAGATTTCTGTATTGGTTTGAACTGTATCCAAATGGGGCGGAGCCAGAAGCCAGGATTTTCATTCAGATAGGAAACAAGTTGCAAACATAAATTTAAAAATCAAAATATATCATCCCCTACAAAAGTGCATTGTTGTTTCATAAGAGATAATATGTATATAACATAAATTTTATATTAAACTTTCGCTTTAAATAATATTTTCCAAACACTGTAATCCTCCAACTAACATTGATTCGGCTTCATTTTCTTATACTTAATTTCTTGCGGATCGTTTTCTTGTGCATAACGTTCACTCTTTTTTTTTTTGATAAATATCTCTCTTTTGATTATTTACATAAACTCCAAAATAATATTACATAAAAGAGGAGACAAAAAATCTGAAAATCTGAACTTACCCTTAAACCTAACTAAGAATTAAAACTTAGCTGTCGCCTGCATGAGTTAACCATACAAAAGCAATGAATGAAACAAATAGAGAAAATCATATGTTTGATTAGGTGGCATTTAACAAGAACAATGAAAAATTTCACGCATGTTATTCATGAGAATAAAATGACAAATAACAAGTAAAGTATACTGAAAATAAAATTGATCCTTAGGTAAAATTGAGATATACTTACTTGTCAAAAGCTTCAGTATAAATTGAGAGCAAAATATGTGAGTTCGGTTGAATAGAGGGTCGACATGCGAAGACGGAGATCGCGTGGGCGAGAATGAGATGATTGGTGCTTTATATTCTTTTTCTTGAAAATTACGGTGGGAATTAAATTCTCTGGGAAAGGGAGGTCCTGCTCTTGATGGACTTTGAGCTTGTTAAAGGTTCAATTAGTTTGACTTTGATTGGCATTTAATTGGTGTCTAATTTCTCTATGAATGGTTGAGATTTATGTAAGGCGAGGTGAAAATTTTCGGTGGTACCCCTAACAAAATTCAATGTCGGGCATTGATGAGTAATAAGTATGGAATATAATTAGCATTAAATATATTACCTTAATGATTCTGTTACAATTGCGGGTTTAGATTTTTATAGCAGTTTAATTATTTAAACAATTTCTCAAACAAAATGAGCTTGTGCGCAAAGCGCCCGTGGCCTAATGGATAAGGCGTCTGACTTCTAATCAGGCGATTGTGGGTTCGAGTCCCACCGGGCGTGATATTAACTTCTATTTAATATAGACATATATATAATTTTATTTTATTTTTTATTTTTTATTTTTAACATGATCTTTCCCTGACTAATTACCATTACAGTGATCTCAAATTATGGATATAATAACTTCGCTCTTCTTGGAAATAATTATGTGAATCCTAGCTGTCTAGCTATCGCTGCAGAAATTTGGACATTCTAGATTTCTAAGATAAAGATGGTTAATTGTTTTAAGGGACAAATTTTCAAAACCAACCCATTTGATAAACTAATTGCAAAAAACGACCCGTTTCAGATTTATTTAGAGAAACCGACCTGGTTTCAGCACTGTCGCTGAAACCAGATCGGTTTTTCTAAAAAACTTTACGAAACTTCACGGGAGTTCAACTCCCGTGAAGTTTTTTCTCATAACAAAACTTCACGGGAGTTGGAACTCCCGTGAAGTTTCGGAAACTTTTTTTTCAAAAACCGACCTGGTTTCAACGCTGAGGCTGAAACCAGGTCGGTTTTTGCAAATAAAACTGAAATGGGTCTTTTTTGGGGAATAGTTTATCAAATGGGTTGGTTTTGAAAATTTGTCCTTGTTTTAAGTCTTAGGTAACAACATTACTTTAGGATATTGAAAAGTAATCTATGAAGCATATCATCTTTCTATTTCATTTTAGCAATCTATGCCTCAATCGGTTGAGGACATAAATTTATCTGTTAATTACTAATTAGCAGCCAAACAAATACTACTGATATCACCACCAACCTATCTAAAAAACGGATAATCAGGCCAGGAGTGCAAAAGCACATCACGCAGAAACACACCCAGCAACAAATATTAGAAAATGCGTATATGCGCACATAATGCCTCTCCTTTAGAGCGAGACATCCAAGGAAAGGCATCAACTTGGTACTTTCTCATCTGCACATACTAGAGCAAGCACATCAACAACAATATATGGAAAATTATTTTGTCTGCCTGATCTAAAGTCATCAGGCTCACTTCAGTCAATTACATTTACATAACGTGAAAATTATCCAGAGTAACAATAGAAAATTCATTCGAGAATCTAACTGATGCAAATTAAATTACATACACGATTAGTGTACAAGGATCTATCATCATAGTTCGATAGCATACATACATACGGGCATATCTTCATTCCCAATCAAAATTCACTAATCATCCAGCTCAACAAGCTGAGCTCTTCTCTCTGCTGCTTTTTTCCTAATAAATATGCCCCACCTCATGGCAGCTTTGATCTTGAGCCATCCAACCACAGCTTTACCAGATGAACGGCTGCGATCATCATCAAAGTTAAAGTTCGGGCAAGGGGAAGGCATATAGGACGGAAACCCAAAACCGTCTTCAGGTAAATTAACAGAACCTCCACCCATGCTGAAGACTCTAAGTAAATGTTGCATATCTTCATTCTCAAGCATCTCATGGCTTCTCATTCTGATTTCATCCTCTGTAAGAAAATCATCAACACCACCTCCACGGTTGTCCCTTTGATGAGACCAGTCATCATAGGGATTAGGGTTTGCAGACTGTGCATGCTGACTGCTGAGTGGATTGTACTCTAAGCTCTGTTGGGGTGGGCCCAGAGCTAGACCCATGCTGTCTTTGGATGCAACCTGATTTTGCTGAGAATTGCCAAATTGGTTTGTTGGAGCAAATGAAGTGCTACTGAAATGCATCTGGACGTTAGGGGTGATATGCTGCGAATGAGCTGGGTATTTAGCCACGTGGTCCTCATAACCACCACCTGAAGAAAAATACACATTTGGTTAAGAATATGAAAACTAGTATGGCCAGCTCCATAATCATGCCTTCCATATTATGAGGCTTTTTATATAGTAATCTGTCATTGCAGATAGACCCCTTGCAGTATCACAGTTGCAGATAGAGACCTGTAGTTCAGTATGTGCAGATAGATCCCCTGTAGTATTTGCCTAAGTGCGGACAGACCCCCTTGGTGAACTTTTTTGATACTTGTAAGAGTCAAAAAAGAATTTAGTAATTCGGGGTCTATCCGCACCGATAGAACTACAGGGTGGTCTATCCGCCTCTGTAAATTTTTTCTTTTTTTTTCTTTTCTGCTCTTTTAAGAGTTAAAAATTCACTCAAGGGGTATATCCACACAGTTATAACTATAGGGGGAGCATATGTTACTGGGTGATACGACAGGAGGTCCATCCGCTAGTTCACTCAGGGGGTATATCCACACAGTTATAACTATAGCGGGAGCATACAAAACTGGGCGATACAACAGGAGGTCCATCCGCTAGTAAGCCTTTGCTAAGCTAAAACTAGCATGAATATTTGTCGAAATTCTAAGTTCCATGATCAAACCATGGGATGGATCCAAGTGGATCTTGTATCATGTCTTGATCTTATGGTGATTGGGAGCCTAGTAATCAAATATCTTGACCAATTAAACTGATTTGAAACTATCATTCATAAAATGATTAATCAAGCTGATCCAATATTTTACAGTCTTTATTACCACAACAGCACAACTGAAATCATAAATGAAGAATAAGGTTGATTCTACATTTTATATTCTTCGTAACTATTGAAAAAAGACAGGCATGCTAATTTATCCAAGATTGTATGTGTAGTTTCACTTTTCAGCTTCTAATAAACAAAAGAAATGTACCAAGAAAGTTGCGGAAGCAAAAAGTCGGAAAGAAAGGTATCATTAATGTTCCATTCCTGGAGGAAAATAAAAAGAAAGCATGCATGCAGTGCGGAATAGTAGGGTATCAATAAAATTGTAGCGTGGAAAGTTATCTAAACGAATACCAAAGCACAGTAGCAATGCAGATTGACCAGCTAACTGAAATTATGAGGGAATATTATAATGAATGCCTGATTTTTCTATGCATTCATAGCCTCGTTCTGACTTTTAGTTCGTAAGGTAACATGTCCTTCAAGCAAATGTTGATTGTATCACTGTACAGAGAATGAAAGATGATATCCAGTTTGGTCCTTGTTAGAATATAAAAGTATAACACCCTCAACCCTAACCACTTTAGAGTTTCATGTTAGAGTTTTGGTGTGGTGGCAGGGTCATTTGACATGGCATCAGAGCAATCCAGGTTCAAAGTCCACTGGACGCAAATTCAAAGAAGATATCAAAAATATATAAAGACGATACACGTTTGCACGCATGTAAGTCCAATTTCTGGCCCATGAAAAGGGCCCTCAGCCTGAGGGCGCATTATAACACCCTCAACCCTCACCATAACTTCAAATTTCTGGGTTAGCGGCAGGGTCCTTTGACAGTTCTCATTAATGGAACAAGATTCTAGTATCGACAACAATTAATAAGATTATCATACAGATTCTGAGTGGTCATCTTGCGTCTATTAACAAACCTCAAAGCTAATTCGATCATTTTAACTGCCAAGCATTCTCAAATATCAGAATCATATTTTGTGTCTATTAACAAGATTCTAGTGAATATTTTGCGTCTATTAACAAACCTCAAAAAAGCTAATTTGATCATTTAACTCCCACGTGCACTCAAATATCAGCATCATATTTCAACCTTTGAGGTGTAAGGAACACAGTACCTCCAACTGTTGGATTAATTGAAGGCTGCTCCATAATAGCAGGAACTGGTATACTTGGCTGAGAGACTTGTTGATCATAAGAAGAGTGATAATTTTCTGGAGCTGGTAATTCATTTTGACTTGCCTTCTTGCTCTGTTGTATGCTTAGAAGAGCCTTACCGTCATATTCTATGACATGCATCCAGTTATCATATGCTTTTTTCACCAAAGCATCAGCAAAGACCTGCAAAATTTAGCAATTATCAGTAACTATCAGAGATGTTAGCCAATTTAAAGTTTGTTGGTACCTTTGGAAATGCAGCCGAAACATGCTTGAGCAAGAATCAGTTAAATGAAGCACTAGTTAATTCAGATTTGGAGATACAATAAAAAGTACTCTTCTAATTCAAATCTAGTAAGAGACTTAAAAGTTAACAAGAGTTGAAAGAAGATCCGAGATTTCCAACAAACTCTCAGAAAATATCATGCTAGGATGAGACAATCAATTAAAGTAACTAGTTATATGGCATAGGCCAACCCTGAAGGATTTGAGAGGATCATTTAACAATATAAGTATCATGATGTCGAATGACAAAACAAAAGGACATATTGTCCTGCTTCTTTTCCCAAACACATCACCATTCGTCACAAAGAGACTTGTGAAAAAAAGCATTTGTTTAAGAAACCCCCAATTTTTCTGAATATCCAAGCGAGACATAATTATGACATCAAAGACAACTGCCAGTAGTAATTGAATGGGACTATCTTGTCATACATCCACATCCAAAGATGCAGTATGCTATAATTTACTATCAAGAATGACAAATGTAATACATCTGAGACAGATTCCTGCATTACCAACCTTCTGGCTGTCATTCAGAGATTCAGCCGAGTAGTACTGCCCACCAGCAATCAGACCAGTAAACTCATATATGTTGTTAAATATTGCACCAACACTCCTTGTATCATCAGAATAATATATATAATATTTTCCACCCATGACACATGTCTTCGCATGTTCAACAAGGACTTCCCACATCCTATTTGACATGCCACTTCCAAGGATCTATATTGTAGAGACAATGCATTAGAACGACAAGTAAATGAGGCTGATACTCTAATCGGAACTATAATACTAGGAAACCTTACATTCCGCAATCTATGTGAATCCCTAACAACAAGACGGAGGAAATCTTCAACTGTGTAGATTCCAGCCTTATTCAACCTTTTATGAAATGCACCATCCTTGCCAATTTTTTCCAATCTCCAGACGTCATCATTTAAGGCAGGTGGATAGTGTTTCTTGTATACTTGAAAACAATGTAAGACAAATGTGTTAATAGATAATCATACTAATCTGAGAAACACAGAACAAGAAACTAAATAATGATGACATTTTGAGAAAGACTCACATTCCCCTCTGTGATCCCTAACTGGAAAAGCTTCTGTTTTTGCCTCCCGAACCCGGATACCTTCACAATAGCCTGAAGCAACCTTTACGCCGAGCCTAAATTTTCTACACCTTATCCAGCTGGAATTGTCAGTGAACGTGAGCTCCCCAAGGGTCCCTACGCCTTCTTTAAGCAATAGTTGCAGGTCACCAGTTAAAAGCGGTCGCTTACCTTCCCTCTCTTTTACAACATGACTCTCAAATTCTTCTTCAGTCCAATCCTCGTCATCTTCATTGTTAAACTCACCATCGAGCACAACAACCTCTAGTTTAGCAGATGATTCTGGCCCTGATGTTACGACATGCCCAGTGTTTGCATCAAGCAATACAACATGGACTGCAGCTCCTTGTTCCCCTTCAACCTTTCCTCCTGTGAAAAGTGGCATGGATAACCTTGACCTAAAATTCAGCTGGAGATTTCTTCCATCTGGCCCTTCTATCCGTTTTGGGGAAGACCTGGGTTTCTTGATTTTTAGCAGAATACAAACAGGGGAAAATAGAATATCATGTATATCAAAATTGCAAGAAACGAAAGGTTGGAACAACTGAACAAGAATTCTGATCGTATCTATGGCTATAACATGTAGTTAGCAATAAGATCAACTGTGATCAGTTAATAACTAATATACATATCTTCTTAGGGTTAAGAAGGGTCCATCAAATTGTGATTCGCTAAAGAGAATGACTCAGTCAGGATCTCAACAAAGAACTGGCCTAGCTTAAGGAAAGCTCTGAGCCCCACCATAATCACCTATGAGCACGTTACAACCCTGCAATGGTACCTTTCTGCTATCTCTTCTATCCAATCTCAAAAAAACTTATGAGAAAGAAAAGGGCTATGATTTATTTCATTTGGAACTTGTTTTAAGAGCACTGGAAATCTGTTACCCTTAATTTATGTTCTTAGCTGAAAGCCTGAAACCATATAGTCTTAGAAAGTTTGACTTAATTATTGACTCATTATTAGCAGTGTCCTTATGCCTCTCCCACTATGGGTTATGATGCCCGCTATTTCTCAGCTACGATGTGCTGAGAAATATGCACTGAGCTTCAGATCCAAGTTATCCAACTTCTTGTTTATTTCTTCTTGATTTTTCAACATAAATATGTTCTGATCATATATTGCTCGTTGCCCAGTTTCTAACTCAAGTATACGAGCAGATAGGGTATTATATTGAGCATCTGAGAAACATGAGTGATCAGTTTGCATTGGAGGTGGTATGTGACTTGAGGAGGGGTCTGCTTGATGAGATGATTGTGAAATTTCTTATGGAATTTGTTCTTAAGGAGGGTGAGGCTCATGTTGGGGATTTTGGTCATTAAATTCAAAGTTTGTTAACTTCATCCTAGTGAGGGCATTGGAATCAAAGAACTCAATTGAACGAATCATTGAATTTTTAGTTTCAAGTTCAACATGGAATGCTTCAAAAAATTTAGTTAAAAAAGCTCGAAATGGAGGAAATCCTCTAGGTAGAACCAAAAGATTTTCAAAATACACTTCAGCCCAATTAACTTGAATATTTACCATTATGGCATATAGGGCTTTTGCTAAGTCTAGAGAGATGAAATAAAAACTCCCGGTTTTTGGAAACAAATTGTAAGCAAGGATACGAACAATAAACCTAGGATTCTAGGAATAGGTCTAAGTTTGTTAGAATGAGAGTTTTTCTTGACATGGGAGAAAGATATGATTCAAAAGCAAGTCTTGATCTCTCATATTAACACTATGAAGACTAACACCATGGTAAGGGATATTGAAAAAATTTCAATGGTTTTAGGAGTCAAATTAATCTCAATTCCCTTAACAAGAGTGTTGATCGTTTCAGTTTTGTTAACAGTTTCCAGACAAGTGATATTTATGTAAAACAATTGAACTAAAAGAGGATAATGGAGTTTTCTATTTTCAGATGAAAATAACTCTAGTAGCCCAACGTTTTCAAAATATGAACTAAAATTATGAATTACGAAGTCTTCAAATTTAACAAAACGATCCGGTAGTATCTCAAAAGTTTGAAATTCTTTAAATTTCTCAAGCAAATTTGGATCTTTTAAGTACATAGAGTAGTCCTCAACAACATTTGAAGGACCTGACCTTGATCAATCCTAGCCTTATATCATATTCTATTTAGATCAAATCTTGACCATAGGATTGATTTTTGATCTAATCTTGACCATTCATTTTTAACTTAAGAAAACTACCCTAACTCCTCCACCCACTCACGTTTTCACTCTCCCAAAACCGAAACCCCTCTTCCCCATTTCAGGAACACCGAACCCTAATCCTAGAGCATCACTTTTCCTCCTCTCTTCTCAAAGTCTTCCTCAAATTGTTGATTTTCTGAGTTTGTTAGTACTTGTAGTCAACTACAACCACTATTAGCCGACTAATTTCATCTTCTAGAGTATCGATAGTTTGGGTAAGTCTCCTACACTTGATCTTTTGAAATTCCTTACTTGAATCATGTCCAGGTCTAAGAGATCAATGTCAGATCTTTTAAATGTTGTTGATGACTACTCTATGTACTTAAAATCCAAGTTTGTTTAAGAAATTTAAAGAATTCCAAACTTTTGAGATACTACCGGGTCGTTTTGTTAAATTTGAAGACTTTATAACTCATAATTTCAGTTCATATTTTGAAAACATTGGACTACTAGAGTTATTTTCATCTGAAAATAAAAAAACCACATTATCCTCTCTTAATTCAATTGTTTTACATAAATATCACTCGTCTTGAAAATGTTTACAAAACTGAAAAGATCAACACTCTTGTTAAACAAAACTGAAAAGATCAACACTCTTGTTAAGGGAATTGAGATTAATTTGACTCCTAAAACCATTAGAAAAAATTTCAATATCTCTTACCAAGGTGTTAGTCTTCACAGTGTTAAGATGAGAGATCAAGACTTGCTTTCGAATCATATCTTTCTCTCAGGTCAAGAAAAATCCTTGAGTCATTCTAACAAACTTAGACCTATTCCTAGGTTTATTGCTCGTATCATTGCTTACAATTTGTTTCTAAAAGCCGGGAGTTTTCATTTCATCTCTCTAGACTTCGTAAAAGCCCTATATGCCATAATGGAAAATATTCAAGTTAATTAGGCTGAAGTATATTTTAAAAATCTTTTGGTTCTACCTAGAGGATTTCTTTGTTTTTTTAACAAAAAATTTTGAAGTCTTTCATATTGATCTTGAAACTGAAAATTTAATGATTCGTTCAATTAAGTTCTTTGATTCCAATGCCCTCACTATGATGAAGTTAACAAACTTTAAACTTCATGACCAAAATCCCCAAGATGAGCCTCACCCTCCTCAAGAACAAATCTCATAAAAAATTCCACAATCATCTCATCAAGCAGGCCCCTCCTCGAGTCAGAAACCACCTCCAATGCAAACTAATCCCCCATGCTTCTTAGATGCTCAATATAATACCCTATCTGCTCGTATACTTGAGTTAGAAACTGGACAACGAGCAATATATGATCAGAACATATTTATGTTGAAAAATCAAAAAATAAACAAGAAGTTGGATAACTTGGATCTGAAGCCTCAATGTATATTTCCAAGGACATCTACCTCCTCCAGACCTTTCATGTTAAGAGGAGCATGAATGCATCTCATGTAGTACTTTGATTAGTTTCATGTTTATGTCAAAAACTATGTCATAAGTTGGTTTGTTTATTTAAGTCACAAACTATGTGGTAGTTTCTTAAGACTTATGTATTATATCGTAAGTTGCTTTATGTGTTTAAGACTATGTACCAATTTGTGTTAATATTGCTACTATGTTTCCTTTATGCTTAGTATGATTTATGCATTAGTATGTTGTGTTCATGAGCTAAATATTCTAAACAGATTATAACGATGGAATTTATCGAACTATTGGTCTTTATGGTAAGTCTTTGTTGGTCTATTTGGATGGGTGAAGTAATGGACTATGTTCACAATTTGGATGACCTATTTAAAGTGTTAGCTCATGACGAAGAAATACTTGCATTTTTAGAATAATGTTCAATTCTTTTTGCTAATGACAAAGAGGGAGAAAATATTAAAATATATGAATTTCAGCAACTCTTATATGCTTTTATGCAGGGGGAGTAAGTATATAATGTTCATAAGTGTTTAATTCTTTTATGATATACTTACATATGCATAAATTGTTTGTCATCATAAAAAAGGAGAAGAATATTGGATATATTGTCCTAATATATAGTTTTGATGATAACAATTTATATACTATGTGTATTATTATGCACTAACATATCAATGCAGATATCAACATCAAATATAATCAAGATATGTGAACAAAGTGCAGGATGAGTTCAAAGCAACAAGAAGTAAAGAAGAAAAAATGCATAAACGTCATAATGTAATTTTTACATTTTCTTTACTTAGATTTATTGTACAAGTCTTGATCACTCACAACACATACACACATTGTGTTTTAGAACACGCTAACACATGTTTAGTGTGTGGTTAACAATAAAAATCCCCAATGTTAACCATTAGAGTTTATAGATAAAAAATGAGTCTCAAAATACTTCATACATCTCATAGTTACCCCTTAGTAGTCGACCAATAAGAATAGTAGTTGACTACTAAAGCCTTGGTCAAAATATCAGTTTCTGTTATTTTACAGTGTAGTCGACTAATATATATTGTAGTCGACTATTAAAGACTCGCACAGAATTTCAGTTTCTATGAAATTACAGTGTAATCGACTACTAGGATTTATAGTCGACTACTAAGAGTCAGTTCAGAATTCCAGAACATCTATCTTTACAGTATAATCGACTAATGACTATAGTAGTCGACTACTAAGAAATTTTCTGACTTCGCAGAGTCTAATTAGACTCAGTATAGTCGACTACTAAGACAATTAGTCGACTACAAATATAATTTTTTCAGATTTTAAAGTTTAAATTTATGACTATTTTATAGTCGTTTGTGGACGTTATTTGGGTTTAAAAAATTTATCTTTTCAGAGGCTATAAATGGGTTTAAACTTCAAAATTCATTTACCAATGTTCATATCCATAAGATCAACCTTTTGTGCAAATTCAAGAGTTCAAAATCAAATTTTCAGCCTAAGTGTTGATAAAAGAGGGTTTCTGAAATAGCCATTGATCTTCATCATACATACAAATTGTTTAGGCAATATTCAGAGATTAAAAGAGTTCATAAGCCACTGCTGCACTTCACTACACATTCAAGGCTTATAGGAATTTGTATTCTTTCTTCAAAGAAGCTTTCTCTCGGGTGTGAAAGAAGATCTCTTGGTTAAGAGATTGTTTGTAATTTGCAGGAACTTACAAATTGATTAGGTTTGGTTTTTTATTTTGTAATAGTTTTTTAAAATCATAGTGAAAATCTCAAGCAAGATTTGCTTGAGGACTGAATGTACACCCGGGGTGGTGGAACCAGTATAAAAGCTTGTGTTTGTGATTATTATTTTATGTGATTGTTGTTATCTTTCTTGCAATTTATAATCTACTTTGCAAAAAATTTAAATAAATACTATTCACCCCCCTCCTAGTGTTTAGAGTGTACTTCCGCAGATCCAACAGAGCGGCTCGTGGATTTCATCTTGTTTGTTGTTGTTACATTGAGATTTTAATTTAAACAATCATAAAATTCACATCTTTCATATAAAAAACAATTTGTCATCATTGCACTAAAATTTGAATTTATGATCTAAAACGTCATGTGCTTTCACATAAAAACCTATATTGGATAAAGCAAACTTGTCAAAAAGAACGTTCGGGCTTCAATGGAAGCTTTCAAAACTTTTTAGTTGATTTTTTATATTTGTAAATAGGGCTTTTAAGATATTGGTCCCTCAAATCTCATTCTATTTTGAAATTAATCCCCAAATTTTTGATATTTTGAAATATCAAATAAGTCATCCAGACTCATTGATTACTCAGATTACTCCCTTTAGTTTACATGTGTTAGCTTAATCGCAAATAAAGTCAACAATATGTAGTTTTACTATTTTCCATTATATTGTTTCCTTTAATACCCCTTTCTAACAGTAATGAAGGCGACGATGCCTTCTACACCCATCAAAATTTACACATTGGATAAAAAATTTGCACTTAAGAGCATATAACATAAGGTGGATTTTAATGGGGTTAGTAGCAGTAAACAATACATAGTTTTCTTGTTTTCCATTACACCGATGTCTTCAATCCTCGCTTCTGACTGTCATGAAGGCAACGACACCTTCTAAACCCATCAAAATTTACACATAGGGCAAAAAAATTGCATTTAGCGGCATATAACATAAGCTGGATCTTAATGGGATTAGAAGGAGTCGTTGCCTTAATAACCATTAGAAGTGGAGTTAAAGCTGGATTTTAATTGGGTTAGAAGGAGTTGTTTCCTTAATAACCATTATAAGTGGGGATGAAGACAATGATATAATGACAACACAGAAAAACTAATATTAGTTACTTTATTTTGTAGTTAAAGTGACAATTTTAAACTAAGGGGATTAACCTGAATTCTGAAGTAACCTATCGGCTTTTAGGGGACATGTTTCAAAGTATCAGTTTTTTTGGTTTTTTTTTTTTTTTGTGATGGTCTTCCTTTTCTTTTTTCTTTTTTTTTGGGCGAGGGGGGTACCTTAAAAACCCTTCTAAATAACTACATCCTTTTTCTGGTACATGAAGAGTACATACCGAATAGATATGATACTCTCCATATTATAGTTATTGAAAGGATAACACTATGGTCACACAATTGATAAGTAGCTGCAAGAAACTCAAAAGTTCTTAGGCATAGCATACATGACAAAGTGTTGTTAATATATATCATCACTCCTACTAGGAATGCACGGAAAGCAGTGAGCATATGCTCATAGATAAATAGCATCATTTTAAGTCATAACCCTAAAAGTATGATGTTAGATTGAGGTGAGGTCAACCATGCAGAGACGACCATATACTATCCAATGAATGGAGGTTATACAGTCAATGGCCACGGTCAGATACATGGTCCTCTTTCTAGATGCTGAAAATTTCGCTTAATTTTGGTCTAAGTGGAATAAGCATAAAGTACACCATTCACCAGCTAAAAAGGCAAAATAAAAATTTAACACAAACTCACTAGTCTTTCTGAAGAGAAGCGGACTGAGGACTTCAATCTAAACTTGTATATTAAATATCGGCTGATATATTGCTATATCGGCCGATATATCGGTTTTGATGCCCTTCTGATATGATGTTTTTGAAAAAATATTAGTTTTCGATTTTTACCAACTTTTTTTCCAATATATTGGAAATATCGGTCGATATTTCATTAAGGAAATATTGACCGATATTGGCTAATATCCAAATGAAAAACGTTATTGAGTTTGGGTTTGGTTTTGGTTCCCACCAAACCACAAAAGTTAATAAATTCCCAAACTCAAATACCCTAAACCCCTAGTCAATCTCATATTTCTCATCCCTCTTTGTTTGACACTTCAGCTCAAAAACACTACGCGATCTTAGGTACTAATCTCTCTCCCTTCTCTCCACTCTCTCTTCTCCAATCCTCTCAGCTCCTCCTCAGACCCCCTCTATCTCTCTTCCTCACTCTCCTCTCTCTCTCTCAACTTCTGTCTTCCTCTCTCTTCTTTGTTCATGTCCTCTCTCTCTCACACACAACTCTCTACTTGTATCTAATGTCTATAAACGTCGTATATCATTATCCATAATTCAATTTCTTATGTTTAGACTACATTAATTATATTTTGATTACATATTACAATGTTACATTACATATAAACATCATCCGATATGACGCCCCGATATTTTATGTATCCCCGATATATCCCCGATTTCCACAATCCGATATGGATTTTGGCTATCCAATATTTTTGATATTTATTACATTGATCTAAACATGATGAATCTTAATTTTAACTCGCTGGAATTTTGCTATAACATAAGAAAAATATTAGTTTTTAATAAAAAGAGTAGTGTTTTCAATCCTAGGGACCTTCGACTTCACTGGATATGATTGAGTGCTTGTTTGGTGGATTTTAGGGTGTAAAATAGTTGTCTGTTTGGGGCTGTTGTCAGCTGCTGGACAAAAACAAAAAGGATGGAGCTACTACAGGAAAGAAAAAGAAAGGGAGGGGGACTGTTTGAATTCGTTGTAAGAAGTCAAGAGTCGAATCTGAACTTCTGTTGGTTGTCTCAAGCTGAAGATTAAGACGAAGGTACTGAGATTATAACAGGGGAAAAATTTAAAAAAAATAAAGAAGAGACGTCATGCCATTAATTTGAGGACTCACTCCAACTTTTCAACTAAACTCATTTTTCATTCATCAATGTTCATCTCTAAAAGAAAGAATACATGTTAGTTGTAAAGAAACCAAACAACTGAAAATAAATCTCAATCCTAACCAAACATCACAAGTAATGAATGAAACAAAAAATAACCTGACACCACAGGAAATCAACGAACTAAATATCTAACCAAAATATCAATTAAATCTGAACAACATTAGTTTAATCCTAACTAAGTTTCCTAACCCTAATCAAATCCTTTAAGTTCTCCTGCATCACCTTCACATTAGATTAGTCATAGTAGATGCTTTGAATAAACCAACCAATGATGCAGCAACCAACAGCCTATGAAACCAATAAAGACGAATTATGCATCATTCTTTCACGCCCTATGTGTAAACTTAAGGAGTTAGCTGCAACACCAAATTAACAAATATGCCTACAAAGATAAAGTTCCATATCTAACTTAAAAGGTATAGGTTAACTACGTGCTATATGAAATGTCCTAGAAATGTAAACATTGTAGAAATATTAACTATCCCAGTTTCTTTAAATGGAAATGCCACAGCTCGCACCTGCCTCCAACCTTAGCAGGACCCAACTTTGCTAGAGCACGCTCCACTTCTTCACTAACCTGTACAAGCAGAGAGGAACATAACAAACCATGAGGTACAAATAAAAAGAGCTAACTAATCATGCATAATAGAGCACACTCCACTGCGCTTATTTCCTAACAACATGAAGCTGAAGTTCCTATCAAAACAATCAATGTCAAAAAAAATCATGACTATGTAATGTTATACTACTGTATGTAATATAAACTGCCGCACAAACTAAAGGAACAGAAGGAATAGACAACATTTCATCAAAATTTAGGAAGAAAAGAATAGGATGTAGAAAAATTTTAAGAAATGTGAACTCGGTTTGATGCACGAGCAAGATAAAGTGTTACCATGAGATCTTAGAGATTTTTACATGACCATTATTCATCATGATATACCAATCGTAAGAAAATGTTTACCACCTTTAATCATGCAGATAAAGATATGTTTGAAGTTATATAAGAATGTGGAATTTCAACATTTTCAATTCTTTTTTAAGGAATGTTGAATTTTATAAACAGCAAAAATACAGGGGCATGCATATGTCCAGGTTCACAAGAGTCACCACATGGCCAGTTTCCAGACTGGTCCTTACAAAGACCAAAAGGTCATGACCAAAACCGAGATGACATGGCCAAATACTTCGTCCAAATTTAAAAGACATTCTTTTTATCTTGCTATATCACAAGTTTTTTCCTTATTCATCAAGTGGTTAAAATATGGACAATTTTTATTAGAAGCTACTTAGGCCTGTGATGTGAAAAATTAAAACCCAAAAGAAGTCGGTTTAGGGTTTATAAGTCTTCAGATCATATTTAGTAGGTTGGGTTATCAAATTCTATGCTCCAAACCTTTGGCCTAAGCAACTTCTTATCACAAGCACTTGCTGTATAAGGAGGGAAGAAAACTATGAACGCTTTGCAGACATGAAGCAGCATATTTCTTTTGGACAATGATGAATAATAATAATATCAACAACATCCACAGCCAACAATCACAATTAAAACTGATTTAGGGGAAAGATCTTACAACTCGGCGAAGAATGGGCTCCAATGACGAACATAATTTCTGCAAACTATCCACCTTGAGAGCTTCCACAATCACACTATTCATAAAAAAGCAATTTCCAATCAACATAATGGAGCATGTTAAATTTTTGCATCAATAAGGGATGTGAGACTAATGACACTCTGGAGGGCACAAAAATCTAAACATGTCAAAAGTTAGGTGCCACTTGCACTACCTCCTTACAAGAAAGAAAAGAGCTCACAGTTACTTATTTATAGTATGATGGGCCTTTTCTTATCAATCTCCCAACATATATGCAACCATTAGCCCATGATGGAATATAAAAATAGTTGGTCATTACATAACAGTTCATCAAATACACACATCATACCGGTTACCACTGTCTGAGAAAGATCTTCCTCTTGCAACTAACCCTCTCTTTCTACAAATTTAAGTATCTTGAATTAGATAATCATCAGGCTTTGAATTCTCGAGACATCTAGCATTCTGACATCATGATATCGTCATATTAGCTATCTCAAAGTTCTAATTTTAAGTGGCTAATCTATCTGATTTTGAAGGAGGTTCCAAAGACAAGAAACTTATGCCCACTGCTAACCCAAAAGAGTCTTAAAGTTCTCAGAGATTTTGTAGATTGCTTATTTCCTCTTTTCCAACAGTAATGCAATAAGTAAAGGAACATCAAGCAAACAATTCATAGTGAGAAATAAAGCAAGCAAAACCTAGTTCAATAAGATCTCCTCTCAACGTCACTATAAAGAAATTCCTAAAATTAGAAAGTAAAACAAATTCAATTAATATAATAACTGAGCCCAATAACCTAAAAAATTATAAATATAAATTATAACCAATTCCATTAAGATATTTACTAAACTCAATAATCTCAGAAACCAATTAAGCTACAAACCATTCCAAACTCGCAAATTTCTCCAAGATTAACCCCCAAATTAGCCCAAATCTACATCAAACAAACAAAAAAATTGAGGGAAATCAAACCTTGCGAGAGCCGGAGGCTTGTGCCTCTTGGGCTCAGGACTCAATTCGTCGCCATCGCCGCCAGAATCCAATCCCCTTTTCTCCCTCTCTCTCGTCAGCGTGTTCGATCTCGTCAGATACCTGCTCGGTCTCTGCATTTGAACCTCCCCCAAAAAAAACCCTAGATCTCACCGGGATCCAGTAAGTCAATTTAAGAACTGATACCGTCGGTTGCTTAATAGAAGGGAATACAATTGAGGAGATTATGTAAATTGGGGGAATCGAGGGAGGGAAATGAAAAATTACGGGATGAAGTTTGCTTCTGTTCGTGAGAGTGAGGGAGACTGGACGAAGACCTGAAGAGGATCTATAAATCCAATCTCTTACAGGCGGCCAGCTGAGCTGTTGACTTCCTTGGACATGCTTTGCCTTTTAAACCTCCGTGATTTCGGGAAATTACAAGCAAGTCCTACTTCTTTCCTCAGTTGCTTTGCAATGTGTTTGGGAGAAGACTCCTTTCCTTCCCTTTCCTTTCATTACACCCTAATTTGGGGTATAAAATTTTGGCTCAAATTTCTCTTTCATTCATCTCCTCTATCCTCCTAAATGGAACTCTCAAACAATGTTAAAATTAGATTTCTCTTCCTCTCCCCCTCTCTATGCTCCATCCAAACAGGCGATTGGAGTTTTCGAGCTGTAGACGGAGAGGATATAGGGAGTTTCTATGTTTTTAATAAAAATAATAATGCAAGAAATTTCTTTGTGACTTGAGCAACTGTGTAGATTTAACTAATTAATGGAACTGTTAGTAAAAATCCATCATTATGAGAATAGATCAGTTTTATCTAAGGACACTGAAACCCAAAATTAGGCCATGGGAAACTCGAAAACCGACCTTATAAAGCGTTTAGGCTTTATGTTATGAAATAATTGTATAATACAAATTTTTGTATCGTTTAGAATGATTGTTAGGGCTTTTCGATAGCTTTGCTTTTAAAGGGTGCCATTTATGTTTGCCATGCTAAAGCATAACAAAAAAAAATTAGTTGATATATTTGATAATTTACACACTTTATGGAATGTGCTACCCTCCAAATTCGAAGAAAATCAGGAGAATTACAACACTTGACTTTGTAGCTAGTTTCAAACTACAAAATCATTTAGCCAATATGTTTTCATTTTCATGTACAAATCGCCCACTCAACAACGTCTAAATTACGATTAAAAAGCTTAAGCCTGAAAATAGTGAAAGAGCACAATACTTTGTCCATCTCTGTTTTTTTTTTTTTTTTTGCCCCCTTCAGTTTTATTATCATGTCATCGTCACATAGATCATTGTATCGGAACTTCAGATTTTATAGAACCACGGCAAGATGCTAGATATGTTGTCTACGTCTCTGTTTTGTCTCCTTTCACTAGTTATGAGCTTGCACCTGAGAGTCCACTAGGGTCCTTGTCATCTTTACCCATGACTCCATGAGCAAAGCTTCTGCAAATAATTTACATATTCTTTTGTGACCGAAACATAGATTGAGGTTTGTGGAAGCTGGATTTAAATTCCATTAGCTTGCTTCATCTTAATCCAGTCCATCAAGTTCTCTTTTTTTTTATATAAATAAATTGATGTACAAATCAATTCACACGCACCCACGATTGTTCACATTAGTCCATCCTAGACAACTTCAATGTGGTTGGTGAAAGACAACAAAGGTGCAATAAACAAAAGAAAGGTCATTAAACCTGTAATCGTACATTGTTGCTAGAGGAGAACTCTTGGTCTCGTCAATAAAAAATACATCCTCATTGTAAAGTTTGATTCATTATAGAATCATTGGAGATGTATAAATCAGGGGATATTCTAATTAAGCTATCTCATATTTTGAACTATGCTTTGATTAATCCTCCAAGGCATGGTCTGACCTCATTATGGGCATATATGCCCATTGGATGCCTTTTTCAATAATCGTTTTACTTCCATTATCATGATAAATATTACAGAGAGGATCATAAAAGAGAGAGAGAAACAATACAACTATTGTTACATTATTGTTATGGATTACATAGACATATCATTGTTATATGATTGTTGGCAAATGCCATCATAGACATATAAGGATCCAAATGTTTAGTCGATTTCTTATGACTTTTTCTTTTATCTTCTATTTATGTGAATGATTGTTGAAAATAAACTGAAGTAGCAGTTCCTTTTTGGCACTTAATATTATTTATTATACTCTTTTTTATTAATTTAGTTATCAATCTTTGATGAAGGCAATCAGTCCCAGCTCAATTTTTCTTCGGCATGGATTAAGCATAAATAAAAACATTTTATGAGATTTTCCACTATTTTCAGGCTAACCTGGATGTTATATCAGGGTTGGACTTCTGATGGCAAATGAATTCATCACTACAGCCAAAAAAATATTTGATTTCCATTGTTTGTTGGAAGGTTAAAGCTTTTTCTTGTTATCTTACCTAGTACTTGACTGAATTAGTAGCCAAATTTGTTAATTTGGAAAAACAGTTATAGGTTACCAAAAGAGTGGTCCAATTGAGATACTAATCATATCATACTCCCTTTAAAAGCACGAGTTCAGAAAAATCTTTCTATGGTCAATATTACCCTTCACTATTTTGAATATTATATTTAAATTTTAATCTATTGTAATTCTAATTATATCTTATCTAATCCCACATGAACTATCTATAGTTCAACAATTTAAAAAAAGATTAACAAACTACGTGGAATATTATTTTAAACTTTTTATTTAAATCTTAATCTATCTAAATACTAATTATATCCTATATTACCCCATATGAACTACCTATAGCTCAGCAATTTAAAAAAAAATAAGATTAAGATTTAATTCAAATTTTACACAAAATATCTTTAAAAGTTTAAAATTACTCAAAACACCGTGACTTTTCAAAACTTAAAACAACAAACATAAAATCTAAAAATTAAAAACAGCCCCCGAGGAATTTAAAAATTACAATTATTCCCTCAAAATTTCTAAAATTGTAGAAACAACCTCAAAAATTAAAATTAGAAAAAAAAACACCCTAAAACCAATGACTTCAAAACTTGCAAACAACATAGATAGATTTCAGGGATTACAATTAGACACTTAAAAACTTAAAATTTGTAATAAATAACCTCAAAGTTACATAAACTACAAAAACTCCCTCAAAATTTAAAAAACGCAAAAATCCTGAAAATTCAAAACTTATAACCGGAAAACATCAAATCTAAAAATTATCAGCAGATCATTAAAAACTTAAATTTATCAAAAAACAACTTAAAGTTTTAGTAATTGTAAAAAACACACTCAAAATTTCAGAGTTGAAAGAAACATCTTAACATTTAAAAAAAACACACTCAAAATTTCAGAGTTGAAAGAAACATCTTAACATTTAAAAACTTACCACCAACTCATAAAACATAAAAATTACAAACACCTGAAAGAAACATCTTAACATTTAAAAACTTACCACCAACTCATAAAACATAAAAATTACAAACACCCAACTTAAAATTTAATTTTTTTTAAAAAATAACATTAAAGTTAAAAAATTTATAAAACACACTATCAAAAGTTTAAAATCACAAAAGGCTAAAAATTGGCAAAGAAAATAGTAAATGTTTGATATCATTTCATTAAGATATATAAATTTAAGTTTCAAGTTAAAGTTCATCATCCCTTTTTAGCATCTAAAAGTAGTCTAAGTTGACACTGGTAAAAAATAACAATTACGATAGATTAAAACTATCTAGTTAAGGAATAAATATTTAAAAAATATATGACAGATTAAAAATTAATATTACTGTATAAATTTAAGGAACTACATATAATATTAGTAACAACATTAATTGATAGAAGACTAAATTACATAAAACTAACAAAAGACTATAATATAATAAGTTAGCATTAATTGATTATAATATATAAATATTCATCTCTGATGTTAATAATATTTATAGAGTAAAAAAATACAAGAAATTTTGCATGAAAAAACTATCAAGAAGTTCAGAGATATCCTTTAAAAAAGTAAGCTTTTTTATTTTTAAATAGATTCAGAGATATCCTTTAAAAAAAGTAAGCTTTTTTATTTTTAAATAGAGAAGTGAAGTAAATAAACCCAAAATATGAAAACATTCATGAATCACTTGAACTGACATCGACAAAATGTATATCTAGCAAAGAGCACCAATGAGTTCCCCCTTGAAGAAATGTTTAACAATTTTGTCCCAATTAAAAAACATTCATCGTGAAAGATACAAGAAAATTTAGTTTGTATGTATAAATTTTCTTACTTTATTCTTAAAATACTAAATGAATCATAAACTTATTATAAAATTACATATAAATAATTTTACAATAGAAACTAAAGTAAAGTAATTGATCAACTATGTTGCGAGATATAACAAGCCAGATAAGATGAGAGAAATTACTATAATGGACAAAAGGTATATAGATGATAATTAGTTACAATAGCATAAGTAAAAAAATTAAAATTGATATTTTTTCCAATATATGGTATGACTTTGCAAGTAAATTTATTTGAGGATATGACTACCTAATAAAAGATTAGTTTTTAAAGACACGATCAAAGATAAGTACATAATAGCACTGTTAGATTTCAAGATATTTAAATATGAATGTAGCATATTTTACTACTAAAATTTTTATTAAAGGTCACTAAACATAAAATTCACATTATATCTGTCTCAAATTTATAGGGAAAATATGCATGTTATCGTAAATTATGTTAACAATATATACCAACACAAAGATACAACTTATTGAAGAAATAAAAGAATGATAAATAAATCAAGCAAACATACATATAACATAATAAAAAAATATTACACTTTAAAGTTAATATGTATGACTTATTCAGAACAAGCTGCTAATATAGAAGCATATCTATCAAGGCTCTTTACAAATATAATACAATTTTAAACTATTGATGTATGTAATAATCACAATATCAAAGAGGTATGATCTTGTAAGACCTACTCTAAAATTTACACGATTTAACTTAAAAATACTCTAACAATATACAGACACGCTATTAGACCTATAATGTAAAGATAACTACTATTTACAATAAAGTTGAGCTGTGGTTCTAGCTTGCAAAGGATACAACAAGAAGATTGGATAGAGATGTTAATAAGAATGTCCAAATGATAAATATCACAGAATTACTAATAAAGTAGTACCAAGATTGAGTAATGTCCCTTATTCATGAAATAAACATATCAATATTAAATATTAACATTATAATTTAAGCTAATTTGATAATAAAAAGTACAGTTATTTAGTTCAGATCATTATGGAAAATGACATAGATAGAGTAAAAGTAACATTATTTAATGCGACATAAACTCTTATT